ATTGGTTGATGGAGGCGACGACAATGAAATTCTGGTTCATATGAGATAGAAATGTTCCTAATGTTACCCTGTTAAGAGGACAAAGTGATCCTTACTCAGAAATCATCGTAGTACTGATAGCAAGCTTAGTTGATCATCGTAGTAGTGATAGCAAGCTTAGTTGAGGGTTTATTTTCAGCTTAACACCTCTGATAGTAACACAGTGGAGGCGAGGTGACACAAGGACCACCATGCTAGAGGGACATTCAGGTGATCTTCGCTATGCTCGCCTCATCACCTGTCTCACCTTACACTGTTTGGGTCAGGTAATTAGAATACCTGCGCGACACATCAATATCCTACGTAATCGTAATCTCCCGTATCGTAAGGACAACAACAAAAAAGTAGCGTCTAATTAGCCATAAAGTAGTTAGAGAGTCGTTTACAATTGAAGGTCCTTACATTAAACGATCATTTAGGAAGACTTAGTGAACAGGCTGAGGCAACTATACTAGAGCGTCCAGCCAGTCTCCACCAAGGTCACCTGCCCACTCGCTGCACGTTTTTTTTTTATACAATATTCAAGTTTGTCTCGACGGTGAGTCTCGTGTTGTGCAGAGTAATATGTTTTGTTGTAATAAAACCACACACCGAACATATCTTGATGCTTGTCTTTCATTTGTCAATATTTTTCAAGTGCGAGTGTGTGTGGGAGGGTGTTAAGTGCGAGTGTGTGTGCGAAGGTGTCAAGTGTGAGTGTGGGAGGTTGTCAAGTGTGAAGGAGAGAGGGGTGTCAAGATAGTATGGAGGGGGAAAAGAGGGTGACAGTGGTATGAACGTTCCTCTAGGCAAGTCTCCCACACCAGCAGTAGTGCTGACTGTCTGGCTGGTGGTGGGTCTCCGTGTACTCCCGCGGCGATACACCAATTAGCGACCCACCCACCTGCCTACACCATTATTTACTGGCTCACACTCTTGAATAATCTGAATAATAAGATAAGGACGCCCTAATTTTACTCCAAATTGGAACACGCTTCTGAGAATCTTCCCCGCGCTGACACGTTCTTTAAATAAGTTTACAGTACGTGAGTGAATTGCCACACCTCGAGGCACGTCTTGAAAAAAACAAAAAACAGATGACAGTCACCGTAACAATTGTTCCTTTCCTGATGTGTTGACTTATTGCAGAATTTATTTTCATCCAAATGACAAAATGATTGGTAATAATAAGTAATAGTCTCGCCAATATAGATAAAAATATTGTGGGGTTGAAATTCATAATTGTGTAGCCTGTTGATTCTACCCTCGCTATTTTGTGGCCTAGAATTAAGTTTATAAATCTGATCACATTTGCGATGAAATATTTTCGCTAAACTAATAATTTGTATCATGTATGGAAACTGAACTAAGAATAAGTAAACTAAAATATCAACAACAATGGACAAACGAAATTGAATACAGATTTAATAAGAACATTGGAAATAAGTACAACAATAAAACTGAAATAAGCTCAGTAATCACCGAAGCTGACCTGTTGAAACATTAGCTCCGTCTCTCGTATTGGGTGTCGGCAACAAACTTGATACTAAAGTGTATACTTGATGGTCAACTGGGCCCCATCCTAATGGTTAGGTTACGTTAAGTTAGGCTGGGCCCCACCATAGGGTAGTCACATGATTGAGGTTCCCACCCCACCATATGACCACAATTTTCGTGGTAACTCGCCCAGGCTCATTGCGTCAAGTACTGTCTACCCTATCTCAACCTGTGCATGATATCATGACGCCGAGCCTATAAATACGTAACAGACGCCCTGGTTTGACTGGTAAATGCTGTGGTGCACTAAGCTACGTCGTGTTCTTTAGGCAAGCCACGCATATCATCCAAAACAAGTTAACCTCACAAAATTTGCTCTACGATCGTCAAGTTGATTTTCCCGTCATCTTATGAATTGCTGTAAAAATCCCTGATCTATTTTTAGAGTCTAACACAGCCTAGCTGACGGGCGCTTTCTGGCCGCGCGTTGGATCAGTGACTCTTGATGTAAGAGTAAAGTAAGACTGACGAGCACTATCACTGAGTAAAATATACTCTATTTTAGTTTATCTTGTGGCTGCTTGAGGCGCCCTGGAGAGACAAATATAATACAGTTTAGCCTACAGGTCAACTGCCCTGGGATTAGATTCGCCCAAGTTCATACAAAATATTCCTCGGTTTTCCTCTTAACTGAACATGGAAGAATGCACCTGACTGCTTGACTAAAGCTATAACATAAAAATAACAACTAAGAACAGCATCAAAGTCTTACTAAAACTCAAAACTATATAAACTCCCTTAATACCATTATAAGATACACAATAACACTGTGAACCCCAGTTTTGTCTCCTAACTGGTGATAAGTGAATGCCTCTAGTTAAGGTATAAGCTCAGTGTAATTAAGATGATATTCTTTAACCAATTCTTGAGCCAAGCTTCGGTTAACCAGTCAGTCAGGTGCATTCTTACATGTTCAGTGAAGAGGAATATTTGTCTACAAACCACAAATAATATGATCCTGCTACAAAACTGGTTGACAAATGAGCTAGTCTGTGGATGGACACCTAAAGTATGTGGTGTTAAAGAAGACGGAATATTCGAGTTCTGAACAATGAATAAGTTGTTTATTTCAGGCTTAAGCGATGAAAAAATAACTAAGATCAGTACGATGTGTAATAAAACACTAAACGGAAGAGCCCTAGAGAGAGAGAGAGAGAGAGAGAGAGAGAGAGAGAGATAATGTTAAATAGTTAGGCTTTATAAAACTCTAACATTTACATTGAAATTTAATACACTAGAAAGAAACGTCTCTCCAAAACATGATGAGCAATAAGGTTCTCCCAGACCGTCAAGTTGGTCCTGACACTTCACAACAACCTAAGTTGTTACCGTTTGGTTGGCCTCACAAACTGCCTCCACATAATAGAGTATTCTAGTTCAGAATTTTTATATCCACGTCTATAATAACTGAAAATTTTATAACATAACCAAAACATCAATATGTAACGTTTAAATACACCACGTTAAAGAACTTGGCAATATTTTTCTTATATGTTACTCTAAATAATACAAATTTCAGACTTTTAAATACTTACACATTGGAAGTCTTGCTTATTTTGTTTCTGTGATTCACACTAGAACACACTTGTTATATATAAACTTTAGGTAAACTGTCAATAGACTCAATACAGACAACACATCCGCACGTTGTTGTTGTTGACACTGAATGAATGGTGAGCTTATCTTCACCAGTTTAAGAAATAACTGTATAATTTAATTATTTTTAAACATGAAAAATATAATTGCAAGAACTTCACTAATGTATTTATTTTGGTTTATAATCTAGCAAATAAAAACCTGTAGAAAATACCACTGTCCATACATCTTTGGAATACTTCAAGCTGAGGCGTCAACCTCAAGCTTTTGCCGGGATATTACAAGTACGACCGTCAATTTCGTGTCGAGTTCCAGTTACAATATGTTCACCTTTCCCGACATTGTTTTTGCAATATATACTGAAGAAAGCATGTAATATATGTGCAAAGAAAAAACATTAGTAATTTGTATATTACGAGTTAGTGAGTTTCATAATATTACATAATCTACCGATATTAACATGTTATCAGGCACAGACGTCGATAAATTAACAAAAATAAGCGTGGAAGTGTATTTGGTGGCCATCTCGGTTATGTGTAGTTGTGAGGCCATGCACACACATTATTAAACTCCATATTTATGTTTTGAAGGATACATTTCTTACTCATCAGTAATTCACCCAAAGGTTCATAACTTTTTTTCACGAATAAAGCAATTTTCAACACATGAAATGAGGGGTTTTTTCTCAACGTGTCTACAATGAATAGACAAAACATATGAATCTTACAACTAAAAACAAAATTAACAAATATATCCTTAAGAGTCAAAATACGTATTGTCTGGTTAATTTATGCTCTTCCTTTTCTCGTTGGTTTAGTTCGTTTTTTTTAAATTTAGGACCAACTAACTAATGTACTGTATTGTACTAACATTCCAACAGCACCAAACACAGTACAGGTATTTGTTAACTGAGGCAAAGAGCATAATTGATATAATAAACATAGCTACTGAAATGCATTGGACTCAATCTAATATTTCCATACCTCATTCAATAATTATGACACCTGCTAGTGGAAGATCCATGGGGGGGGATATGGGGTGTTCAGTTGAACCCCCCATTTCCCATAAGACTCACCTGACATCACGTTAAAGTAGATCACATCAGGCCAAGTACATTCTTATGGTTCATTTCTGCAAGGTGAATGTTAAGTGCAAAAAAATAAAGATTACATAACCGTCAAATAATCATAACACTGTATGTATTCACAAAAAAACAATTGCAGTATAGTACAATACAGTACAGTATTACATATAGGCCTATCAATGTTTATGCAAAGGTTGGCTATAAAACTGTCACATAAGGCCTACACACAGAGCTAGCACATCTTCCCTCTTTTATTAATGGGGATTAGCCCACCTCAGCACAGGTCACCGACCCACATAAGGGCCTGGGAGGAAAAAATAAAATAAAAAATAATACAAAAATGGAAAACTAAAACAAACCATTAGTGAGAAACGATATGTATGTTGTGTTGTCAAAGTAAGAGAAACAATTGAGACCCTGCAATTGTGTGTAAATGAGGCAGAAAATCAGTCATAGCAGCAACCTGGGACTTTATCACAATTTTTGTGATGCCATATGGCAGCAGCAGCAGGGTCTATCACTAGACAACACATTATGTTTCCAATATCTTTCCAAGTGGTATTACCTCCCTGTTTGGTAGCTGCCTACTACCTGCCATTTGTTTATGACAGACATGAATAGTTACAGTAAGTAAATATAAGAAAAACAAACTTGAGGAGCAGGAAGAACTATACAAAAATAAAACATATAAGTACTGTACCTACACCCATACACTCTCATAAAGGGCTGGAGTAAAATTTTCAAATTGCAAGATCAACTTTATTGTTCAACATGCTGGACATGACGTCAAGAAGTAGGGAGCTGGGAGGTCAAGAAAAAGACAACAACTTGCGAGCTAAACATCAACATGGCTACTCTTTTAAGTTCGCTTGTAGACACTGCCTCTACACCACCACTTGTCATTAACCCTCTATTATGACATGAGCAGGGATAAGTCATCAACCAACTGTGGTGACAAATGCCAAGGTGTATAATTATTTCTTATGGCTGATATTAGTTTTCGATCTCATGGACTTTGGTGACATCTTGTAATGCCCAAAGGAATGTTTTTCTCTCATTTTTACTTTTCATTTATCATATTTAATAAGAGGTTGGTGTCAAGTAGTAGTCCAGAGAAAGGTCTAAGATATTCAGTGTAGGGCGTAGGTTAAGATACTCTGGCAAAGAGACACGGTACAGATACTGTCCGCAATGCCCCGCTCATCCATAACTCTGCTAAATCCACTGTGTTAAATCAATGTACAGTGTCTTGCTACATAACCTAGATGCATCCACTGACTTATATTCCTCATGTATCACTGCCACAAAATAAACCCTTGTACAGCGACCACCATAGAAAGCATCCACAACACACTAACACACTAGAGTTACTTCATGGGGGGGGGGAATGTCCTATATTTATGTGGGTCGAGGGAACATAGTACTAATCCTCAACTGCTTCTAAGGTTGAGAAACAAGTGAATGTTCTGTGTAAACTCTCAACCTTAACTGCATATGGGTTTACAACTATCTTCCACAGAAACACAGTATTATGCTACACACTCCGATAATGCTTTGGGTCAATTAGGTGAGGCCGGGGTTCCATGAGGCAATGCAGCGCAGAACAGTACACATCACACCACACTTCTTGGATATTGGCAGTTTATGGAAAAAATATCCATTATGTTTATTTGTGACGTGTTCTCACAAATATGTTTTTTATCATTAAACCTTACTGACTACAAGTATGAATTAAGTTTCCGACAGCTTTTTCAGACCATTTGTAAATGTTCACTTCTTTCTCAAATATTAGCACTGTTTCTTTTTACTAATAATTTGACATCACAACAAACTGAACTGCTATAGCATTTGATAAGTTTTTATTGCATTGTTCTGCAGTTTTAAATTTTCACAACATGCGGTCAGTGGTTCAATTCAACATCCGTGGACCTGAGGATTACCAGGTCACAGGTATAAAAAGTGGTGCTCTGGGAGATATAGGATGATCAGAAACCAGATCCATGGTAAGGATCGTAGTAGGACCCCGGCACAGACCCAGGCAGTGGAGTGTTGGTGATGCAGACGTCAGAGTCTCACTTGGTGGCACATAATACCCAACTTGAGAGATATGATGACAACAAAAGAAATCACAGGCACGCAACAAATTATATCTCAGAAAATGTTGACCTTACATGTTAGCTTTACATTAAATGTTATATTTGTGCCCAAAATACATGAGTACATGTATGTATACGCATGTATATACAGTGTACATACACACTATATACACAAATGAGAATCTATACCTTCAACCAAACACTGAAAAAGAATGGCACGTGAGATTCAAGGTAGTGGGGCCACAAGTACTAGTCAAAAGTACCAGCAGTACTGACTGAAAACACTAGTCAAAGGTACTATTCACAAGTACAGTACCAGTCAAAAGTAATAGTCAGGAGTATTAGCTGTAATGATGAGAAGTACCAGCTACAAGTACCAGTCATAAGTATTAGTCAAAAGGGCCAGTCGAAAGTATCAAGTCAAAGGTATTACCCATACTAACTGGGAGTACAGTACAGTATAGGTCAGAAGCTATGATGTACTGGTGATAAATACTGGAGTAGAAGTAGTGTGACGAGCAGGTGGCTGTTTCCAGGGCAGCCAAGTATTGTAGCGTGCAGTGGCGACACAGGTAAGAGAAGTGTATACAATACACAATGATGAGAAATCGTGTATAGGAGAAGTTTATACACATGAACAACCATGTGTTAGGGGAGAGAGAAATGTACATGAAGGTAATTATGTGTAATTCTGGAATACTATGTGTTAGTGAAAATAGCAGTATATACAGAAATAGGGATGTGTACTGGCCTGTGTAAAGAATGATATGAATATAAATCCCTTAAGACAAAGGCTGTCAGTCTGGAGACAAGCAGGAAGATGTAAACAGTCACTGGACAGCCAAGTCCAACTCACAAATTAAAACAAAACTGCTCAAATTACTCCATAAAGTCTTCCAGATTAAATTTTTAGCGTAATAACTTTATTTTCAATGTTCTCCAGAATATTTAATGTAACTAGAAGCTATATAACCTTCTGCAGGACAGTTTTTCTTTCACTATATAAACAAACCATCTTCTGGGGTATTATTTACAGCTAATGAAACTTTAAATCCTCTCATTTACATTTGTGTTTATCCATAGCTACGTTCTCAATGACCTAAGTTCTAACACACTGGTAATTCAACAAATAAGTTGGCAATGAGTATAAACAGTGAACACTATTACATGATGTTACAATGAACTCCTTTTCATACCACAGACAAAGTTGCCAGTTATTACCATTGGCTTGATGTTACTGATTAGGTCACAAAGAATGAAGGCCAAGAATGTAATATGTGTGTCTATATGTGTGTGTGTGTGTGTGTGTGGGCTTGAGACAGAGGAAAGGTTGTTGCTTTGTTTTTTAATAACTTTTCGTGATCATCCATGGAGGGGCAGTATTATTATCAACAACTTAACATGACAAAGTTCAATGCAGGACATATAAGAGTAAGCAGAAAGACATGCTGGTTAGTTTATCATGAATGTCATTTCTGTTGGGATTTGGAAACCACCACTTCGTAAAGCCAGAAATTACTGACCCTTCCCCAGCACCTGTTGTATTGCACCCAAGATTTATATAACAGTATGTGTGATATTAACATTTCCTAACATCTGTCACATAATACAAAACTCATACATTCTCTACAGTTTACTCAATCAAGTGAATAAATTCTGGCAGTATCTAGAAAGGGCTTGTGTTACATATAAAAAAGATGAACTGCATTGAGAACAGATGAATCTACCCAAGTGGTTTAAATTATTAGACCAGGATTAATCATAATGGCATCCCAAATATCCCTTCACTACCAATCAAGACATGTCTGATGTTTAATTATTTTTGTCTCCATAAAGTTTAAAAGAGGAACAGGAGAATATATGCCACTCTGCTGTCACAAGTAATGATCAGCAAGAGGGCAAGTAAGGCCAGTGTATATAATGGTAAGGTGGACTTGGTTGTTGTGGCCCCCCTCCCCCCTCTGCCCACAATCTTACCCTTGGTCACGCTCACACACTCACCAAATTGTATAAACTATTTTTCGTCTATTTTCTATGAAGTTATTACTAAAAAATTCTATTAATTATTACAACCCCAGATAACTAATGTGAAGCTTTGTTTCCCCAACAGGCAGATACTAATTTACTTCTTGTTACAACAGACCTTTAGAAACGCCAGGTAATGACTGATAAGTCTGTTATTATCTCTAAAAGAAGGTTAACTGTTGTTGGTAATTACTGACACTGACCTGACGACCCGGGTAGCACACAACCTTCACTGGGCATTAATCGTCCTCTCATAAAGAGTTCACCAGTGACACCATAATATACCATGCATTAAAAAATGATTCTCTAAAATTTGAGTACAGAAAAGTCCATCGGCAGTTTTGTTCTGAGAGGAGCATAAAGTCCACATATTGGCCCCCGGAGCTGAACTCCGCACACACCACATACATATTGATTTCTTGAGCTGTTGGACTCAAAGGGAGGTGAGAAGTGTTTAGTGGCACACTTAAAATATGCTTACTGTTGCACCAATATATTTTGATTAGTTGCCTCTTTGGAGGCTTTACCATCAAAGAGACATGATCCGTGACAGGCAAGGAGACAGCCAAAGATCCGGGGGCTCAAGTGTGGGGTTCAATTCGCACTGATACACAGGTGATGATGCACCTGACGGTTATTCACTTTTCAATGGTTTCTGGCATTCTCAAACAGAATTCATCATTTGTAGCCCATGTCAGCCCCTTCATCAGAGTGGCACTGATGGCAATGTGATGCTAAAATTTACAGACTAACAAACACGCTAACTATCTAATCTGATTGATTTATCTTATATACATTTACATACATAAAATACAGACTGTACACAAATTTCCTTCCTATGTCCACCTCATCAAATTGTTTATGATTTGTGTACATATGATGAAGACATTTATTCTGAACCTTGTCAGAAACTGTCTCCAGAAAGGGAACACTCAGTGAGGACATCACTACATGGGACACTGCTTGGGGAATTCATCTAGCATGTCTTGAACAGTCAGCCCAAGACACAGATCTACCAATGATATGTGCTACTGGAGAACACTGCTGACCACCACTTAGGGACAACTTAGCCCCTAACAAGAAGGGAACTTGTACCAACCCATAAGACCAATAACCACCTGGGGGCACCTCGACCGCCCCTTTATTAAACTGATGCTTGACCACTGGAGAGACACTAATATATGCTTTGTTTTCAGCATATCATGGATTTGGCAGAGATGATCTGAGAACAGTACTGTTGAAAGAAAGTTTTATAATGTGCAAAATATTTCTTTCACAATACTTATGACATATGAAAATATAATTCTCATATTGCTCACTCTTTCCTATTTATATTGAATTTTGAAGATATAGCATATATTTTCAACTGTTTTTAAATCCTTAAAAAAGCATAATTCATCATTGCCATAGAGCTATGACCAGGAGTGAACATCTTATCCTGTAATGCACTGGACAACATCACCATCATCACAACGCTGAACATTATTCAACACCTTAAGAAGCCACATATTGGAAGCATGGAAAGTTATTTATTTTTATGCACAAAAGTTAGATTTTAACTTTGCCATTTTACAAATACAACCTCAACATTGTATACTGAAATGTTAGTGTATTCTTAAAAATAGCATAGCATAGCCAGATAAAACTGGTACCAAAATAGTCCTTTCGTAACTAGGTCTCACTAAGCTACACACTAACAGACTTGTTGGAGGACTCTGCTAACCTCAGTGGATAGCATCAAGGTTCAATATTGGCAGTTTAAGCAGCCAAGATAACAATCTGATGACTGTTCCAATTTTTAATATCCAGAGACTAGTACGTATTAACAAGTCATAACTACCTATGTACTGTAGTATTGTATCTCCAAACTGAACCTCAAGTGTTATATTACTTACAGATGAGGTTTTATTGCCAACTGCACAATAGGCCATATCCCACATTTTTCAATAATTACAAACACTTTTAGGATTAAACTTCACTTGTACTGATGATCCCATTTAGATTTTCCTCACTGATATCAAACAAATAACTCTCTTCAAAAGAAAACACAGAAATCTTTAATACATTCACTAGAGAATCAGAGATCATGTTGATGGATGGAATCGAAACCTTATTTGTGGACGATCCGAAATTGAATGGCAGCTGAGAATCCAGAGGACTAAAAAGGTGCGTTAAAGCGTGTTTCAGGAGGGAGTTCAAGCCCTTGTAGCAATGCTGGACATCCTGTAAAGAGCCGTAAGTCTCTGGACATGTCCTCTACAATGCTGTAAACCCAGGATCATTTCCACAAAGTTGAGAGTGTAGATCTTGAAGACAAGATTCATGAAGACAATATTCCAGTTCAGTCACAATGCTTGGCCATCTTCTGTGAAGAGAAAGATATTTCAAATGTTGACATACAAAATACACTAAATACACTGTCTATGAATGTGTGTGGCTCTGGTTCAAACCCGGCACCTACTGTGTGTTCGTGTGTGTGTGTGTAAGCAAGCAGAATTGTATACTATATGTGCTTTTACCCAATACAGTGTTGCAACATACATATTACATGGAGATAAAAATAATTAAAAATATTACCTTGCTGAAATAATGTGCGAAATTTTATGACAATCTGACTGTAACATAAAGAGTTGTATGACAATCCTTATTTCCTATCAAACAATACTCACAGTATTTCAAACTGCAGTACTGTACAGTACTTACAAAATTTTATTTAAAGGGGGTGCAGCATGACTGAGAACACTTAAGAGTGGAAGACTGTGGTCGCCAACCCTCAAATATGAGAACGCTACTCTGAATGAGCCTGACCAAGATTCACACCAAACAATACTAACCCACACTCCACAACTGAAGGTCCATAAGAAACACTTGACAACATTTGTTCCTATGCTTGGAATGGAGAGGTTTGGAGAGATTTTCTCGGAATTTTTCCAGAAAATGTGCACGATTTCCTCCTCGGAAACCCGTTCTCATGCCTAGAATGGTGAGAGTTTATCGGAAGGCTCAAATTCCATTCCAGCTATTGAAAAGTTGTGGGAGACCGGAGATTCTGGCTAAAGGGGAGGCTACTGTAGTACTACATAAAACAGTATAGTAGTACATATACTGTGCTCCAACACTGAGGATGACCGAGGCTCTTTTGTTGGTTAGTTCACATTTACATTTCAAGAGGCCAATGGTTTTGATTTTATATTACTTTTCTCGCATTTTCTTTGTCTTTTTATTCAATACTGTATTTCTCTTTTCTATCTTCTTTGTAGTTTCTCTCTCCTGTCCATATCCCAAATGAATGTTCTCTCCCTCCTCTGTCAGTATTCTTAGCTCCCCCCTTACCCTACCCCACCTGTTCTCTCTATTCCTTTCCACTCCTCCATTCTTCCTTGTCATGGTTGTATCTTCTGGGTGCACTATTCTGTCCAATGAGAACTTGTTTGGGCGCTCTTTTAGTCATGCACCCCATCAGCTCACCTGGCGCAGGATACAGGATGCTCTACAGGTGGGTCCTAGCAGCCTGGGCATCCTCACCAGTGTCCTCCCTTATGTCCTGGGGAGACAACAACCAGTCAGCCACAACATCCCCGACACCACAAAGCCAATCCCCGGCCAAATTAGCATTCAAATTACCCCTCTTTATCCTTAATGAGCTCTAATAGTTAATGCACCTGAGCCTAGGGTGGCTACAAGTAACCTGATTCTACAATATATTTCACTCCACAGAACTCGTAGTGCCGGTTTCTTGTTAACGTCATTTTCACTACAGTAACAGTTAATTTATCTTGCAATGTTTTCCAATTCTCTAACATAGACAAATAAGCTGGAATGGGGGGAGCTAATCTTTGGGTCACTGAATAAAAAAAATTGGTACTGTATACACTTCAGAATGGTTATGAATCAGCCACGATAACCACCAACACAATCCTAACTTAGTCGTCTGGTTATGCTTATAATGATCCTTGCAAAATATGGTCCGCCTTCTCCTCAGAGAGTTGAGTTTAAATTTTTCCTGTAGTATAAAAACGACTTAGGTTTCATAAATGAAGACTAGTAGAGAACTCTGTAACACAAAGCTCTTAGGAGTATTCAGGATTCAGAAAATTTAAAATATTTCTTAAACACACACATACATGCTGTGTGTGTGTATGTGTGCCTCTTGTCTGTCTGTGTGCGTGCTTCAGAAACATTCCAAAATATTTGAGAAACATTCAATTTTTTTCAGAATCATTCAATTTTTTTTCAGATATATTCTAAATTATTTCAGAAACATTCTTCTTTTCCTCCTGTTTTCAACTTGACTCTTTCATTACCAGGGTAATATCTACCACTAAGGTTAATTTCTCTATCCTATATTAACTACATGACAATTATTCTATATCGTTAATAATAATAATAATAACAATAATAATAATATTATTATTATTATTAATAATAATAATATTAATAATAATATTAATAATAATAATAATATTATTATTACTTTTATTATTACTTATTATTATTAATCACCAACCGAATCTCAAGAATTTATCTTTGCAATCAATAGTTCAGACAACTCTAAGACACTTTTCTTCTATGACGTTTCCCTCGCAAATGAGTTATATTATTATTATTATTATTATTGTTATTGTTATTATTTACCATTTAATTAAAGTAATACTCGTTTGGTATCTTTAATACTACGGTAACACCTTTAAACTCATTCAAAGTCATTTAATTTCCGTTTAATGTCATTCAAATTCCTTTAATTCATCCATTTAATCTCATTGAAAGTCCCAGATTTAAACTCATTCATGAAACTGTTTATTTACGTCCATTTTCTGTTGCGATAAAAGAAAATGGAACATTTATATGGGAGGACTTCTTTATTTTTTAATACTGTTTCATAGCAATTGTTTTTACTTTTTTTTTAGAATAACACCAGAGGAGTGCTAGAATTGGACGAAATTTTGTGAAAACGTTAATTATAATCTATTAAACAATTAAATGTAAACGAGAATGCACAGAATGCCAAATCCACTGAACATTGTCCATTAAAGTACATGTATTAGAGAGAGTGAAGCAACATTGCAGTGAAGGGAAAGCAAAGAGAGATTATTGACTGAAGGTGGAGAGTTAATAAGACACAATGTATTTGCAAGATAACAGTACTAAATGTCGGTAGAATGTTAGCCTATTTGTAATAACTAGTTTTATACACATGCATGGGCATCCACTGGGGGGGGGTTGCACCTGGACTATTAGCTACTGAAGATATACTATAAAAGTCTCCCATGACAGAGGGAGCTTCTAAACAAAACAACATAGCATTCCCTGGAAAAGTTAACATACTCTAAGCAGTTTGTCAACTTTTGGGGTTGTAAGCCCCACGTGGCAAGGGTTAGTATAGTCAAAGACAATGACATAGCTGGTGATCATGTCATGTAATTGCCCACCACAGTAGGACAATGATAGTTTAAGGATTTATACCACCTCAACTGAAGCCCTGTATATAAGATGCCCATAACAATCTTATATCAACGCTAGAATACCGTAACTGCTTTAGTGATTTGGCCATCAATGTCATCAGGAGTGTCTCAGAGTATTAAGTCAGTAGAAACATGAGGGGAGGCTTTTTCAAATTATATTACCAACCTATTAAGGGAAGAATAGTCAGTGACTGTAATTGTTAATCGATAAGCAACTATTGCAAGAGGTAATATCTACTCTCTTGCAATAGAGAGCCAATACTGATATGATTTTAATCAAAAAGATTATAGTTTCACTTTTTCAATCCTGCACCTGTACCTGGTAGTTGGTCCTAATATAAAATACAACACACTTGGAAACATATGTACCATATTTCATGGTGTCCTAGACTGGACAGGAATGTCTCAAAATGCACAGGAACAGTTCCAAGAATAGTCTATGATGGGCAAGGAATGTCTTTCACATCCATTTATTTCGACAATTAAAACAATAACTCACCCTGACTGCTGCTCTGAGATTAATTATATGTGTTCAGATAAATGCACTACAAGTTAATGAATGACATAGACACTGGGCTAACCTGCTGGGGTGGAGGTGTTTCTGGTGGGGTAGAATCAAGCTTGATATCCATGACTGCATACTCCTGACTCAACCTCACCCGCTCTTCACCCTGGGTTACCAAATGAGATATTAAGACATTTCATCAATTTAATTACTGTAGAGCGTACACCACTCAAGGAAAATGATTCTTTTTTTTACATTGTGAGGAAACTGTAAATGCTGAAATACAGTATGAAATTTGGGGCTATATAGTTTCTTAACACTTCCTACAAAGGTATACAATCTTTTAATGTACCGGGTAGTCAATTTTTTAGTTAAAGGGATTATGTACTATATTAAGACACACTATTTGTTCAGAAAAATGGTTAAAAAATCACTCTGCATCCTATGTGAGAAATTGCAGTCTGCTATAGGCTAAATTCTACCAAGCCCAACTCCAGAATTAATAATATGTTATTGATTACTTTAATACATTATTATTACCTTCATAACAAATTTTTAACAAATGATGATGATAACCTGAGACAATTTGCATCCTTTCAGTACCCAATTCTTCAGAGCTAAGCAATAAATTTTTTGAACTCTTACAATTGTTATTATATATTAATGTTACATGTGTACCTGAAACATTTATTTTATTATTCTTATTAGGAAACGTCTTTTAGCTTCCAAAACAAACTTAAAATCATGATTATAACAGTGAATGACAGCAATAGCCATCAGTATACCAGGTAATCATAATATTAAATGAGCTCATGTGTGACGTGTTGTTCAAGGAAGGAAAAAAAGGCAAGAGAATATTCTTTAGTACTGTATACCATTGAGTAACTTTATAACACTAGTATCTCATAATTAGAAGAGGTGTTGTTAAAATTATATTAAAATACAGTACCGGTAACAGTCAAAATATCAAATTACTGTAGTCTTTTCTTACTAGGTGCTTGATGGATTCCATTAGATTTGTGCGATCCTTCTTGAGCGTCTCTAACTCTTGGGCTGCTCTGGAAGATCTCACTCCTCCTACCTCCAAAAGGGCCAAGTGGGCATCCTTCTCACTCAGTGCTGATGTCAGTGCCTCATGTCTTGTGAGGAGAGAGGAAATAATTTAATCAGAAAGTAAAAGGAGATAATGAAGCTACAAACAATAATGGAAATAATCAAAGGGATAAAATTTTAAATATTTGTTCATTACAACACGTTCATACTCACTTCATATCAAAAAGTTCCTGTAGATGGTGCCGCCGCTCACTGACCAAAGCATTATGGCGAGATTCCACCTGTGACAGTCTCTGTCGTATGGGACGACAAGATGTGCATCGAAGATTCTGAGCATTTTGGGCACTTGCTAATCTAATCTCAAGTTTAGAAAGCTGTAAAAAATATACCTTATGATTTAGGGTGAGGAATATTTACATCAATTCACACAAAAGATATCTATAAAATGATAAACTCCTAAACTTTGGTAAATCTCTTTACAGTAATTACATCTTAAGATATTATCTAAATCTCCAGCATTACTACAATGCAAACACAACTGTAGACTGAATTAATATCTTTAAAACATCATTTGATCCCACCCAGATCAATCATAGAAGAGAGAGAGATGTACGCTTAAAATATTACTGTACAGTCCAAATATTTTATTAAGACTTTCCTCTAAATTGTTTTCCTTTGAAAAAATAATTGTGCAATCAGTACTTTCCAAATTTACTTAAAAATATTTTGTCATATACAGTAGTATTTATAAAAAAATTCTAGATTTTCCAAACTGTTTCACATTGTTAATATTTCAATAAAATCATAATATTGTATACTTTTTAATGACAGTGGAAGCTGGAAAACACTAAACATCTGTGAGGTGAAGGCATCACTCATGTCTCTGTGTAATTATAACCATAAATTTGACATCACAAAACTGTCACTTTGGTGAACCAATTATACTACATGTTGGATTACCAGACTCTCTATTGAAGAAACTCCAGCGCATCATACATTCACTTCCACCAAGAATTCCCACTACTCTATTTCTAAGTGTATTACATTCATTCCCTATCAGAGCTATATACAACCACTTTCACCTTTCATAATTATAAAGTTTGGTACCCATTTACTGTTGGGTGAACTGCACAGGCTCTAGGTGCAAACCAACTGCCCTTAGGACATGAAGTAAGCATTGTATCCACTCTCCCACCACACCCCTGTAACCTACATTTCTTGAATTAAATTCTATAAAAGTCATTTATAAAACAGCATGTTTGTACATTTGTAAGACTTTTTTACCATAATTTTATAATTAATGTAAAAAATGAACAAACAACTGACCTTTTCCGTTATCTCCTTTCTTCGGTCTTCTTCGTCCCGCTTTTCCAGTTCCATGTCAGTGGCAATCCTGACACTCTGTCTTAATGCTTCTTCTAACTCCTCGATCCTCTCATTCTTGTGCTTCACCACCACCACCAGCTGTTCTAGTTCCTCTATTTTCTCATTCTTCTTCATTTCCTCCTCTAATGAATGAATCTCTTCCTCTAGTTCTTGTATATGCTCTCTCTGCCTTTTATTCTCATTACTTAGGTTATTAATGAGTGAATCTTTGAGTTTGATATCGACATCCATTTGGTCGATGTGGAGTCTATACTCCCTTTGTCGGCCTTCCATCTCTAGCATATCTAACTCTTGGTGATCTGAATGTGGAAGTTCTTCTGGCGGCTGTGTGTTCAAGTTTGGATTTAACAATTCACCATGGTGATTGTATCATTGATTTTCCATTTTTTTTTATTATTGAAGAGTGGTAAGGGTTGAATACACCCATATCAAAGTCCAATAAAAGGGGTACATTGGTTATATCCAAAATAACCATTAATATATGCCAATAGTAGTCATCCCCACAATGGTGTTCAAAGTGGAAATGGAACAGTTCCATGAGGCGGTCGAAGTGATTGGCAGGGTTGAGATTGAGGTTGGCAATCAAAGATGTCCAATCAGGTATGTTTGTTTTAGGACAATATTTGGTTCGGTGTTCAGTGTTCAGAAGGTGGGCAAAGAAAGGTAAAATGCAATTCGTAAACAAATATCAAATAAAACTACTTAAAATAGAAAAAATAGATTAATTCATAACTAAATTACTTTGAACTTTTACATATCCCTTCATTTTATATCTGAGGTCCAACAAGAAACCAACAAGATTCTTCTTTTAATTTTCATCCACTTCACAGGCACATTGAGAGAGATTAATTGAACAGGAAATGTTTTTATTCTTTATAATTCATAGAATCTGAGAGATGGGGCACTCATCATGATATCTTTTGTTAAAATCCCATTCAGCTATCCTCAGAAACTACAACAACAACAATAACAACTCAACAACACAGGTAATACTTATTGCCTGTGACAAACGTCCATCTAATTCTAATGCTTCAAACATGTTCAAGATCATCATAATACAATTTGATAATTCATTTAGAAAAAGCTTTTCATGAGCCCACTAAACCCTGAGGCAGCATTTTGAAGAGGCTGTACTCAACCAAATAAATTCAGAAATGAACCAAGGACATAAATTGCAGAAGGCAAGGAGATAAGATGCATAATATATCAACAAATATAAATACAAAAATAAAAAAGATGAAAGTTAAATGATTGATGACAGACGAAGAAGAGAATTAGTGAGAGGAAAGATTTTAGATAAAGAATAAAATTTGTGAAAGATATTATAAGAAAAAAAGATTGATGAGAACCAAATACAGAGATATTACATGGTATTAAAATTAACAGCCACGTATTTATATAAATCATATAAAAAAGAATTGCAATGAAGAAGAAAAATTAATATAAACCCCACATTAATGACAGATAAATAAAGCATAACAGGAGGAGGTAGGTGAGAGCGATGGATTGGGGAGAAGCAGTACAGACGACGCAGTGGAGAACAGCATCCGGCCAGGCGGGGGGAGAGAAGAGAGAGAGACGGCTTGTTAGTAACACAGCAGCATGCGGCCATATCTTGTGCTACTGGCCCCTCAACATCCACTACACTGCACACTCTTCTCTCATACATATTCTTACAACTGTCACCCATATTTCTTGGCATAATCTTTGAACACTTCTTAATCTTATTTCTTATAAATAAATAAAAATATTTTCTAAATAAATATCAACCACTGTTAAACTTATGAACATTACAGCATAATTAGGGTTTTTTTTTTTAAATTCTTCATTTGTCACCAACATTTCTGTGGAACCATCTGTCATCTAAATATGGATTCTGGTTGGTACTGGATGACTTCTGAGCATTAACTTCAAAAAAACTAACAACAGACATACAGAGTTATGAACATTACGGGAGGCTTCATCACCACTTTCTTTGCAGCTCATAAATATATACTGTATGCTGTACCTGTTTACTGCATTCCTGTTTTTTTTTACTCTGAAGAATTCCGTCAACATGAAGGTAGCTACCCATAAAATACAGTTTATCCTGGCAATAAGTTTAATATTTTTTTTAGCTTTCCTTCTCAAGAGTGAAAGTGTAAGTATATCCCACAGGCCTGAGACACATTAAGAATGGTGTGGGTAAAGCAGGCTGTTTACTATACCTTCAGTACACAAAGAGGAAGCATTACTGGCACTGCATTAAATTGCCTTCATTTCTCCAATTGTAAAATTAGGTAATCAATTACTGTACAATACATCTCAGTGAAGTGCAAGTGTCCTAGGTATGAACCAGTGACTTTTAAGAGTAAATACTATAACCACTCAGCTGCTCCATCCCTTCTTATGAGGTACCAGTTTATAAAGCATTATATGCTAATAGCAAAAAGAGACAGATTTTCCTTCAAAATTCCTTCTCATAGGATTTTAAAATACAAATATTTCTTCCAAAACAGACCGCTCCTTACACTGCAATCGTACAACACTCATCATTGAAAGTTATTTTAATTGAGAAAACAATCTGGTTAGCCCTCAAAGTCCTGTTGCATAAACTGACTAACCAATGTATTCTTTCAGATCTCCCAATGCACACAGTCTCATTGGCACTGGAACTGTTGAGGATGGGGAGGAAGGTTAGCAGTTTTATATGCCCCAACATTTTGAGACTACAGTTTTCTGCAGCCAATGTCCCCCACCCTGACAAATATGTATACTGTATATGTTCCTGAACCTATGAGTGTAGTCTCACATGGATCAAGGGGCCAAGTCTCATGCTGCACATATTAGGATGGAACTGAAATATTTATTTAGACAACATTAATCATGCTGTTGTTGACAACACAGCTTCTACGCTACAGTTCTAATCTTCTGACTGATCATTCATTAATACAATATTCCTAAAGCTTCCACAGTGGACTGACAATTAGTATGTTATCACGTTCTATATGCAAGCTAATCATTAACTTTATCCCACAGATATATGGAATAAGTTAAGAATCAGAACCATACATTTCATTCTGGTAATGTTAACATTAGCTGAGTCATTAAAAAGAACAGTTAATGTAATAATAAACCCTCTTTTGTTTTCTAATAATAAACACACCTAATATGATAAGCATTGGCAAAAGACCAATAAAGTAAAACAGCTCAACATCCAAACAAAAGCATAAATAATTTAACACTCCTGATTCACTTAAAACTACAATATTGTCAAATTGCACTGGTTTTACATATGAAGCAAATAGAACTTTAGTATCTTCGGAGTGTTCAATACAGATCATAAATTGATTGTATAAAATTCCCATTGCATGGCTAAGAGTAAGAGACAAAAAGACCTGTGAGATTTCCCAACTCAACCAACCACTGGTAGAGTCTGCTTGCCTTGGGGTCTATCAGTGTTCTGTCAGACCCATACATACAGACCAGCTACTTGCTCAGCTGGAGCACAATTTATGAAACAAATTCCATCTCAGGGTTGATTCAAAACCCAACAATTAATAAAATACAACAAGATGATCTCTGAAGCTGTCTCACTCGGGTCTTAAACTCCACAGCCAAAAGAACGAGTTACATCTTTCAAAACTTCATATTTTCCATATAAAAGAGCCGATCAAGAGAGGAAGGATATACATCTGTTAACTTTTTTCCCTTTGAACATAGTGAGATTTCATACTTCAATCCATGTGAGTTTCCAAATTAGCTGAAGGGAGGATGGGGGTGGTGGGGTCCAAGTCAGGTGAAACAGCTTCAGGGTTCACCTTAAGTGAAGTTAGTTTGTTTGGATGTTAAGAATATAAAATGAAGTAGCAAATAAGTAAGAAACCTAAATATTCTAAAAATATGAAGGATTTATGACAAAGTATTTGTTTTTTCATAAGCTGCTTGAAGAATAAAATCTTTACAATGAAGTACAGGTATGACACAACTAAATAGAAACAACTTTACCTGTGCTACATTTTTCGCCTGCTCTAATGTGGCCTTGGCAGCTTCTGATGCTGCTGAAGCCTTTTCTGCTGCTGACGCTGCCATTTGGCCAGCTGAAGCTGTGGTAAGTCCGGCAGGCATGCCGTCCATTTTAGCTGGGGTACCTGGGGTAGATGCTACGGAGGCCTTCTTTGGTTGGCCTCCTCCACCTAATGACCCTCCTCCTCCACCAGCACCACCTCTTTCTGCCCTTAAGGCTCTGTAATTTGAGCATATAATTAAGAGGTGGGTGGCAGGAGGAAACAGGGTATATCAAGAAGGATAAAGAAAGATGAGGTAGAAAAGTACAGATGAAGTCAACAAAAGAGGACAGTGAGCAGGGAAGCTTCTCTCTCTTAACACCCTGATGCTCCTAATATTGTATTCATTCCCAAAATATAAAAAGTTAAAGTGATGTACCGGTCAATAAACAGACTAAACTGTACTTGCACATACATTTTTAACTGTTTACAATAAAAGCAGATGTAGCATGTACCTATTTAAAGTATTAGTCATGGCAAGAAAACCAAACCCTGTCAGGGCAACTTACTCTTGAAGGTCTTTAATTGCCTTGTCTTTAGCAAATTGTTCCTCCTGGCCCATCTGCATCACTTGTAGAAGTCTCTCTGTCTCAGACTGGGCAGCAGAAGCATCAGCTACAGCTTTTTCTCGTGCCCTACTTAAGGCATCTAGTTCCTTTTCTCTTTCGCCTAATGCTCTCCTCAATTCAGCCAACTGCTTATTGGCCTCCGATGGTGTTGCTCCATCTGCTGTTTGAGACTACAGAGGAGAGGATACATTTAACATGGTATTATTTAAAATACATGTATTATAACAGAGAAAAATACAATCAAAAGTTGTGGTAATATATCATTTTGGCCGGAAAATATATTTATGACCCATGAGACTCTCTGGTTAAGCAAATCCCTCAACATACAGGTAAACATTAGAATAATTCTTGAGTGTTGTACTACATAAGAAGAGGCAACAAACCTGGCACTGGTGAACATACAAGTCTTAAAGTTCTATACTTCTTCTATTGCTTGCAAAGAGGAAGCTCAAATAAAAAATTTTAACATCCACATTTTCAAACTTCAGAAAACATAAATGTCATGTAAAATATTCACTCCACACCAAAACATGGAAAGTAGTGATCAAGGTCTCAAGACTTAGATCTCAGCCACAGTCTCGGCCTCAGGCATCCTTGGTTTTGGATTTTTGCTCGAGACTTTTTGAGAATACAAATTTGTTTATTAATATTCAGGTCAGGTCTATTGTGAAAGAGTGGTCACCTTGTTTAGTTTAAATTCAGGTGGAGAGTGTTACCTTATTTTGGGTCACTACTTAGCCCATGGATGCACACCAGTTGGAGGCCCAATATAAAGGCGAAGGATCATCTAATTAATACAGTATATGTAATAAATATTTAAATTTCATTCACAACCTGAAGTCATGGAGCCAGGGCATTAGAAACATTAGACTAGCTGCCATTACTGTATAGAGTTGTTTGATCCTGATAAAAAGTCATCTAAGCAACTGGCATTTTCCAATCTATAGAACTGATTCTTTTTTTATTTATCTGTAAATCATTCTATCTATTTCTCATATATACAGTACTGTACTTAAAATACATCAGGCAATATTCACTGAACATACTCTGGCAAGTTGTTGTTCCATGTTGTTAATTTGTTCTCTCTTTTTGTTTAGTCGTATATCCAGTTCAACTAATGTCTTTTCCTTCTCATCCAGTTGCTTGTTTCTTTGTTCTAGGGAATGCACCTTCTGTTCCACCATCTAAGTGAAAAGAAAAGGATTATTTACAATATAAAAAAGATTCGAATGGCAAAGAAACATTATTACAGCACGTGTACACACACAAATGACTAAGTTAAAAACCTTGAGTCTGTTTGATGAAGACAGCATGAATGTTCACTTGAAAATATAAAGCACATCCATACGGGGCCATCTACATATGCAAAGATGAGCTTGTACACCTAATTATAAACATACAATATTATACTGTATAGCACGCACGCACGCACGCACGCACGCACGCACTTGCACGCACGCACACACACACACACACACACACACACACACACACACACACACACACACACACACACACACAGGTTAACTAAAGATTCACATCAACATAACTACTCACCTTCATCTGTTCCTCTAATTGCCTTTTAATCACTTGTGATTCATTGCCAGGCCTTGCGCCGTTCTGTAGCTTCTGGTTGGCCTCGTGTAGATCGAGCTGTTTGGGTCAGGTACCAAAGGTAATGTGTGATACAGTACACCGAAATTTTAATATAGGTAAAGAAATATTACACAGTGACTGGTTCTTGAACTGCTTTATGATATATATATATATATATATATATATATATATATATATATATATATATATATATATATATATATATATATATATATATATATATATATATATATATACATAGGTAATTTAAACCCTTCTTTGATATAAGGTGAAACTGTGGTATTGATGCACTTTTGGACATGTTATACAAGTGTTGTACCACAGTTTTGTTCGTGGTAAAGAAGTGGTTAGGGACTGGAATGGCATGCATGTTCAAATAAAAATAATGCAGAGTCGAATCATCTCCCTAAAATATACCAAACTTTGTTTTCGTGGTATACTGTATACACTTACAACTCAAATAATGTCGCTCATATATGTAAACTGTATTAGTAATAAATGAGTGATGAAAAATGATATCATGGAAGATTTATGAAGGTTAATGTTAGCTTAGTAACACTAGCAGATTAATTGTTGCTACTAGATTACAAAGGAGATGTTAGTCTGTAATCTAAGAAATGACATTACATGAGCACACTGGTCGTTACATGCATCAGGGAGCAACTTACTGACATTTACCTTCTTCTTGTAGAATGATCACAATGATATATACACAATATCATGTTGACAGTATGATGAGATAATATACTGTACTAATATGAGCTTAAAAAGTAAAATTGAATTATATCAAAATATAATATATCAATTGGGGGTTATGAAAAGAAACCAGAGAATTCAATAATAATAAAATAATTATATCAAAATTCAGCTTCAAAAAATCAACAGAACTCCATAAAAGACCTTAAACAAATTATGGAAAACAATCCTATAAGAGTCAAATTATAGTGTATACCAGTATATAACTTTTCTACTGTTGTGTGTAGCCTTTTAACAAAGCACCAATGAAGGTTCATGTTACTGATTATTTGGTAAACTGTTGTAGTACTTAAGAAAGATGTGAGATGTTTAATGGTAATACTGTACTGCACTGGACTATCAGTAACTAGGGTAATTCAGCAACTCTCTCATTCAGATTCAGGAGGCTGGAGAGGAACCAACAGAAGAGGAAGAGTTTGAGGTCCTCTTCTGTCAGAGGCATAAATGTATAATTAAAGCTTTATGACACAGAAAATTTGCAATTCTTGCACTGGATGCAAATTAACTTTGTGTGTAATTGTCACTGTCAAATAAGTTTTGTAAAATTCAAAATAGTGTTTTAAATAATAAGGAAAAAAGTGGTTCAGCTTGAAAGTACAGTACATGGCAATTTAGAAGCTAGCATACTAAAAATGAGAAGGTTGACAAGGAGAATGAATATTGGAAGTATGGTTAACAATCAGGTAACATTATATCTGGAAAGAAAATCTGAAAATACATAATATGCATTTACCATCTGTTCACTATGGAAGAGTGGAACTGCCCTAGGAGTTAGAAAATATGAAAGACAACAAATTAAGAACGAATGAAAAAATACAGTTGTATACAGTACTATGTGCTCAAGGGTTTAACAAAACTAATATTGTACTGTGCCACTAAAGAGATCTATTAAGTTGCTATATTTTCATCACCTTAATTTGCTCGTTCCCACTAGGATGCAGGGTGGCTGATATCACAAGCAAACACAGACTCTTTCTTTATTTGCTGTCATTCATTCTCTCTAACTGTCTTACCAGGTGTGTTCTGCTAAGGTAATATTTTAGATAAATAGATAAGCTTAGGTGACTATGGGAAAATTTAGCAGAACAAAATCATAAGAAAAAGTACATATGTCTGGTGATTGTGCTCAAGACAACAGGAGAACAGAGGAAGATTGCAGTTTCTATCTTTCTTATTACAATCAGTGTATGATTTAGGATTTTCTGGACAACTATAAAAATTGATATGGAAAATATTTTGAGAATTTTGTTTCCTCTATGGCCAGGTTCCTTCACACTGTACTGGGGTTTATAATGAAACAGAGATAAGAATGAAAAATAAAGAAATCTCTCAGAGTTAATTTTGTTTGCTATACAGTATCGTTATTAGATAAAATACAGTGGTATCCCCGTTAGCTGGAACAATTGGTGCAGAGCACTTCCGGAAATGAGAGATTTCTGGATAATGAGACGACTCACTCAAAGCCGGAAAAAAAAATCCCTCATCCCCGGAATTTTCCGGGTAATGGAAAATTTTTCTCAGAATTTCCAGAAAATGTGCCTGATTTTCATCTCTCAAACTCGGAGAAAACACCCCATCCCCGGAATTTACTGGGTATCGGGAAAATTTTCTCGGCATTTTCCGGAAAAGTGCCCCTCAGAAAATCGTTCCCAAAGATGGAATTTTCCGGAAAATTCTGGCTTTGGGAACGATTTTCCGAGAAATTTCAATTCCGGCTATCGGACAGTTATGGGTGTGAGGGATTCCGGCTAACGGAGATATTACTGTATTTAATAGTATGTCCATAAATACGTCTAGTTAATCATACCATCAGTATATAGGTATTACTATGAGTTGAGAAATACCTTAATCTCTAACTAGTACTTATATTTGAATAGCCTTCTGAAACTTAATCAAATCTTCCTGATGAGTCAAGTATCAGTGAAGACCTTCATGCCACCTGCCTTATCTCCCTTTAAAGGGAAGTACAGTAACACTAAAATCCCCAAGATATGTCATAAGGATGGCAAGTTTTAACCAAGCAGGACTGTATATGAACCTTGGTGGGGAGTAAGGAATTAATGCAGTACAAATACATGCATACAATGGCCTTTAACTTGCCTATTGTTTCCTAAAAATAAAACATCACTAAATCTGTATGTGTTTGTGTAATAGCTCAGTATGGTAAATTTGATTCAGTTATATTGTACATGTAACTTCATCCTTCTCTTTCAATGAATTCAATCAACATCTTTGGTGTCCCCTGCATGAAAGAGTCATACTGTACATAGACTGTTATACTAATTTCTAACATTTCAACCACTGACTGCACATCCACACATCACAGTCAATTGGCCAATGTCTTTATTAATCAGTAAATGATCAGTTAATTAAGACACTTCAAGCACATGGTCAAAGCAGTAAGTTTTTTCACAAAACTTGTAGAACTTGTTCTTTTATTCTCACTTTGTTACCATGTTCTCTTGTCCTTTGCACAGTGTCTAGACTAAACCCTCTACTAAGTGTACAGTATGTGAGCCAGACCATAAGGAAACAATCCAGTAATCTTAAAATACTTTTCATCTCCTACTTTAATAAGTGTCCCAAAGCACCTTCAAGTAAAACAAAAAATTAATACAAAAAGGACTGGAATCCTTTTAATTTTTCTAAGATGATAAAAAAAAAGAGAAACAATAAAAGATAATCCAATGAGTGAACAATAAATCTCTGGTCCCTCCATTCCCCCAACTGACCTGCTTCTTCTCCAGCTCTGTCACCAGCAACTCGAGCTGACTCTGAAGCCTTTGTTTTTCAACTGCAGAATTCTTCAACTCATTGTTTGCTTTGTCCAAATCAGCCTTTAATCTCTGTGTGTCTGGGTTGTCACGTGGATTATTACTCTGTTTCTGTAATTGTTGCTGTTGTTGTTGTATTTGCTGCTGTAAAGCATGCAGTTGTTGTGTTTGTTGTTGTATTTGATGTTGAGACTGTTGTGCTTGTTTTTGTAATGTTTGATTTTGTTGTTGTGTTTGATGATGTTGTTGGGTTAATTGTTGTATCTGTTTACTTAGGTCTTGATTCTGCTGATTCAGTTGCTGTATTTGCTGATTTGTCTTTTGACTGTCTTGTGCCATAGTTTGCATTTGCTTTTGCATTTCCTGGACAGCTCGTTCAGCCTGGTCTGCCCTTTGTTTTTCCGAGGTGATACACTGTTGTAGTTTGACAGTCTCACCTTCACCCTTCATACTATTCTCCTTTACCTGTTTATCCATATCTGCTGCGTCTCGCTCTGCCTTTTCTGCTCGTATTTTGCACTTCTCTGCTTCACTTCGTAAGATTCCTAATTCTTTTTCTTTTCCTTGTAACTGAACAATTAAGTTCTTTAGTTCTTTCTCAGCTTCCCTCTGAATTAGTCCTGCCTCCTTCTGAGCAGCCTGTGCAGTTTGTTGAGCTTTCTGTACCTCCTGCTGGAGCCGCTGTACCTCTTTCTCTGCCTCTGCTCGCAAAGCAATGAATTCTTTTTCCTTGGCAGATAGTTGTCCACCAAGTCTCTGAATCTCTTTTTCTCTACTGTCTAACATGTCCTTAGCTCCCTGCTCCATTTCTTTAGTAGTATTGTTCAGTTCAGACTTAATTCGCTTATTCTCATCCCTTGATTTCTGCAAGTCCGACTCACTATTCTTTAATTCTTGTTGGAAGTTTAGAAGCATATCTTGTGATTTTTCTAACTGCTTTACAAGTTGATCACGTTCGGATTGTAGCTGTTTCAAATCCGATTCTAATTTTGATATCATCTTCTCACGTTTCTCTTGGGTTGTATTCAGCCTTTCTTTCTCTGTTGCAACTTTGGAGAGTTCATTCTTAGCCTTCTCAAGTTCCTTATTTAGTCTTATTATCTCTTCTTTGCATTTGTCAAGATCATTATTGGACTTTTGTTGGAAATCAGTAGCCTTACCAATCATGGATTTGGTTTCATCTAAATCTCTCTTATGCTTTCTGTTTTCTGTTTCAAGTCTCTCTTTAACATCAGTAGCTCTTCTAAGTTCAATTTGTGACTTTTCAAGACGTTCATGAAGTTTCTCAAGTTCCACTGACATTCTTTCAAATTCAATCTTAGCTGACTCATTACTCTCTTGATATTTAGACATGTGTTGTTGTGACCTTTCCATCTCATGGGTCAATCGCTGAACTTCCAACTCAGCTTTTTCCTTTCCTGCTTGAGCACGAGTAAGGTCGGCCTGCGTACGCTCTAATCTGTCTTTCAACTTGTTTACTTCTATTGACGTCTTTTCTACCTCGGTTTTGTTGCGGTCTTGTGCAGACAGGAAACGTTCAAGTTGTTCCTGACTCAACTGCAGATCACTCTTAAGCCTCTCATTTTCACTCTCCATTTTCTCCACCTTCTGTTGTGACTTTGTACATTCAATCTGAGATCTCTCATACTTATCCTTCATTTTTTCTAGTTCAATATTTATTCGTTCAAGTTCTCCTTCATACTTCTCATGAGTAGTGGTAAACTTACCTACTCTCGACTGTGTTTTATCTAGCTCTGCCTTCATACTTTCAATTTCCTCTGAGAGTTTTTCATTTAGAAGTTTTTCTTTTTGTAAATCAATCTGGCTGGTGTCGTACCTCTCTCGTAACCGCTCGTTTTCACTTGCCGTCTTCTCTACATCCTGTTTATTCTTCTCATAATCGAGTTGATATTTACCTCTCTGTTGATCCGCTCTGTCCATTTCACTCTTGAGCTTAGTCACCTCCAACTCGTACTTCTCCCTCAATATGGACTCTCTCTCAAAGTCCTTCTGAGTCTTCTCCAATTTGTCCTTCACCCTTTCCACCTCAATTTTCAGTAATTCATAATCTTCTTTTGTCCGTTCTGTATTGTCCTGATATTTTCCCATTCGCACCAGAACTCGGTCCATTTCGGCTTGTATGTTCTCACACTCCTGCTGTAATTTTTCCTTCTCATTGCGGACTTTACTAAGTTCCAACGTGTTTCTTTCATATTTATCTTTGTATTTTTCAACCTCAATCTGTAATCTGGCAATTTCTTCCTGACTTTTTTCTTGGCTATTCTGTGCCTTGCCATATTGTGCTTGGGCTCGCTCAAGTTCAAATGTTAACTGATCAACATCATTCTGTAATTTTTCTTTCTCACTGCCAACTCGACGAAGTTCAACTGTGGTCTTATCGTAACGCTCTCTGAGAATAGTCAAATCTACATTAAGTCTTTCAATTTCCTCTTTTAATTTTTCTTCAGCCTCTTTAGCTCGAACACACTGGAGACTTGAACGATCATAGGACTCTTGTATGCGGTCATAATCTTCTTGTAGTTTGACCTTCTCATCTTTGATCTTATTAAAGAGAACCTGAGTCTTTTCTATTTCAACCTGAAGGCGTTCCTGTTCTGCTTGTGCGGATTCCAAGCGGGTTTGTAGACGGAAGTTTTCGCTCTGTGACCTATTAAGAGAAGATGATTAAAATGAGACTCTGCATTATTAAGATCATTTCAAATACAGAAATTTATACAAAAAAATATTCAAAGTTTTAAAATAGTTTACCTACTGAAGCACTGAAAGCAAGAAAAGTGCTAACTGTAAAAATAATCAGGAGCATGATAAAGAAAACTATGGAGAATCTTAACAAGCAATGGGTTTCCTCCCCACCGGGAACCATGAAATATGATGGCTGTAAGGTAAACAAGCTGGAGCACTGTACTGTACAGTATATCAATCAGGCAACAACAACAAATAATTACTGCTGTACAATACTTTCTCCTGCATAACTTACTTATCAAACTTCTCTAATGCCCTCTCGAATTCCCGATTGGCAACGTCCTTTTCATCTTGAGCTCGTGTGACTTGTGACTGGGCCTTTTCTAGCTTCTCCTTAAGAATGTCGACTTCAGTTGCACGGTCATCTCGTTCCATCTGAAGAGTGCAGCCTGGATTAGTTGACTCTGTGAGTTGGTTCCTACACTTGACATATAAGTCTACAACTTAACATCAAATGATTTGGCTATCTCTTAACTCTACCTCTGACACCTTCTCTGCTAGTGCTACTAAATATCAACTACTTTAACCCTTTTTTATATATTTAATCAATTAACAACATAAACTTTGAATAGTCAACATTTATTATACCCCTGTATATATTTTTAATACCCAGAGATCACAAAAACTAAACACAAAATACAGTACAGAGCTCAACATATATAACAATCACTGAGGGTTGAACTAACAATAATAAATTCAATTATAAAGCTCAATTATTTATCAATGCTACAAGAGGCTCTCAAGGTCATAATGTCACCTAGGATGGGAAAGATTAATATCAACACAGTTTTTTAAGAAGATAAACCAAAGATGATTTTTTTTTGTTAAAGATTTGGCTAAGTTAAGTCTACAATCTTCAATAAGAAATTCAATATGTGAAAAGTTAGTGGATGGACAGACAGTCAGACAATAATGGAAGACCAACTACATAAGGAATGACTTATCGCCTTAGAACTAGCACTGACTAACAAAATACCATTAAGTCTTAGGAGCTTACCGGTAAATAGATAAAGTTAATTAACATATATACTGTACATGTATACACTGTATATATACATAAAATATTTTTTCTTGTGGTTTAACATTAATAAACATGAGAGAGAGAGAGAGAGAGAGAGAGAGAGAGAGAGAGAGAGAGAGAGAGAGAGAGAGACTGTTTTGAGAGAAAGAGAGATAGTTTGTTCAGTACTTTACTGTGGTGTATTATAAAAAAAATAAAGTTCAGTTTGAGAAAATATACTGATTGTTTAACAATACCTAACATCATTAAAAATTCCTTTCACTATATAGTATATTTATTTAGTTGCTAAATAGGAAATGATATTAGTGACTAAAAATATTCAACACTTATCTACTGCAGATTGATTGTAACCTTTTCCATTTCAAATTTACCAAAGTTATTAAGAGAAAAAAATATAGCCTATATACTGTACCTCTCTCACCGGATAATACTATGGAAATATTTGTTCATGAAATAAGGAGAGAGACTATAGGTTTAATGTCCCCGCATAAGATTAAGTGGATTTTATACTCACGAAAAATTACGGTAACATTTTCCATTCGGCTGCCATTGCTATAAAGCCTAGCAGCCACAGGCAAGCGTTTGGGTGAAGCAAAAGCTCATTTACTTACCAACTGAAATACAATTTGTTAGGTAGTTCCTCGTCTGCTTAAACTTATCATGCTTATGCTCTGTATTCTGAACACTGCAGGTTTATCAGGTTTAGCCAAACAAACTCAATTTGCCATTCCATGCACTCTACGCTTGCCATGTGCTTAACAAAATAAAATTACTGAAAATCAAGGGTAGTATCTAATTAAAAAAATGTTTGTAACATGTCTACAAACATTTAATTGCCTACTGTAATCTAGGTATAAAAAATAAACATTTATATATTTCGCCATGTGTAACACCAGCAGTTATATTGGTTATTGATTCTTCCATTTATGGTCAGACTTCGAATTGTGATAAATGTATTAAAGTTTCTCTTAAAAAAATGAGTGAATTCTCAAGTTTTCACTACAAAATATATGCAAGAAAATTTCCACACACTGAGTGACATAGGCATATGAATGGACGTGCCACGCCTAACGTGCAAACTTCCCATTTTCTATGCACACACGAGAACTACTGTACGTACTACAAGTGGTAATCTATTTGATACCTATGGCGCCAGTTGTAGGTTTCATAACATACATACAGTATATATGTATATATATATGTATGTATATATATATGTATATATATATATATGTATATGTATGTGTATATATATATATATATATATATATATATATATATATATATATATATATATATATATATATATATATATATATATATATATATATATATATATATATATATATATATATACATATATATATATACAGGTCATACGTGTCTTACCGATTAAATCTTGAAATTATCCATCCCTCGTCCAAATCACCTTAAGCACAGCACAGTACTATATTATTACTGCCAATGCACTCCTACAAACATGGAATCAATGGCATATATACGTGTATACACTGTACCTTCGAAGGTCCATACTAGTCAATATTCTAGAGCAATGGGTAGGGTCAGCTAGGTTTACTTAGAAACACCACCTTCCCCTAAGATGACTCGGGTTGTACCGACTACCCCACTACGTAGCTGCACCCACCATGAGTTTCTGCGTCTGGGCTGAGGTCTTCTCGTACTTTTCCTTCAGCAGTTCCAGGTCCCCGTACGCGTTCTCCCGGTCCCTCTGAGCCTTGCCCAGCTGCGCCTGCAGCAAGTCCACCTTCTCGGCAAGCGCCTCCACCTCACTGGTGGCCGCCTCCCGTTCTTTCTGCATGCGAGCCATCTGTGTCTGAGGGAGAACCCGCTGGTGGGTTAGCCAGGTGGTTTCAGATGCAGGTGGGGGGGAAGGACAGGTTGGGTGTTGGAAGGTGGCGTAGCTGCACTTTAATTCAATAGCTCAGTTCTCGCAATAAACAACAGCGAATTTTGTCATTCTGATGATTTGAAAAGCTTTGCAGGCTGGATGCAGCAAAATTCCAATTCAGCCAGTAGAATTCCGATAACAAAATGGTTACAATAACCAGAACTAACTAGTTTCAACGTGGCGCTACTGTTTTCTATGATGCTGCAAAGTTAACATAATTGTTGATCTTTGACACAAGGTTAACTATTCCTATGATGTTACATCCAAAACATGCTGGAAAACGGGCAGGCTATTGTAAACGAACACTGATAACTTACCTGAGCCTTTTCGTATTTCTCTCGTAGTCTGTCCGTTTCGTGCTGCGCTGCCTCGCGTTCCTTGGAGAGCCGGGCATTCTGACCATGAGCCTTGTCCAGTTGGCTTTGGATTTGCTCGTAGTCGTAGGCATGCTTCTCACGCTCTGCCTGAACCTGTAGGGCACATCATACCCTCTTTGATCCCCAACATTGGTATAGGATAGCCTTTTCTTGGGCACACACTCTTCTTACCGAGAGCTACAACTGATAAATTCGCATATGGACACTAATGTTTCACTCTAACTGGGATAATTATTTAGTTCAACTTGATAATAGCCCAAGTTAGATGGACAAGATGTTAGGTCCAAACTTCTACCTTTTTTTTATTTGGGTTTCATTGTGGGTTTTATTTAGGGCATTAAACAAAAAACAATAAAACAAAACAAAAAAGATTTTGTTAGAATATTACAAGGTGCTGCATTTAATGTCTACAATGAAATTATCAAATGTCTACATGGTCTAAAAACAAAAATGAAATAGAAAGAGGATTGATAATTCATGCATACATATATACAGGGGTATATATATATATATATATATATATATATATATATATATATATATATATATATATATATATATATATATATATATATATATATATATATATATATATATATATATATATATATATATATATATATATATATATATATATATATATATATATATATATATATATATATATATATATATATATACACAAGCAGCCACTTGCAGGGGCTAGGCTATATTCAGCAAGATAGGCACTGTCTTCTTCAAACGGAGTCCCTCTCATGTACATGCGGCAACCTCAAAAGCTCAAGTTATCGTTGACTAGAGATGTTGGAAACATCCGGAGAGTAAAATAACCATCGGTGAAAGGTAACCACCTAATCCTAACATTATGGACTTTCACCTGATTGATAAAAAAAAGAAGACTAATCTGTTACAGTACATTAATGTGGTGAACATCATCTGCTATGAAGCTTTACTGAGCAGGGCACTTTCTTGGTGAATCTGATGTGATAAAACTTGTGTCTAGCTAAGAATATACCTGGTAGCAAACCATGGCTATTTACAAAGCTACTGGGGCACCAGAAAGGTTAGTCACAGTGGGAATAGTACTCGAGGAACAGCTGGCCTTACAAGTCAAGAGATAAGTCAGAAGAAACAAGATGCAGGCAATAGAAGGAACAAAGAATGGACACAGTTATGTACACTACCGGTTAACAAACCCGTAAGGCGTGTGACACATGGCCAGGGCATGGAAATGATCAACATACAGTACAGTACAGTACAGTACATCATCCAGACACAAGGGTAAACAGTACTCAGCGACTATTCTAATACAACAGTATTGTAGAACGATACAGCAACACCAAACTGGTCGCATGGTACTGTAGGTTAGGGTGTGAAGGGATACAACAATATTAAAAGCCGTTACCAACAACGTTCAATATCTCAAACATTGCACAAGGGAGGGAGGTGATCGCAAATTAAATTTTCACTTAAAATCCACGGATGAACTCCCAGCTATAGCCCCTTCGGATAAGTCGAAAGTTTGTAATACATATCATGTCACCATTTCTAGTCTGTTAACTTTTTATTTCTTGACTTTTAACTTTCTTACATGATAAATAATCCACTGTGTATATGTAGTTAGTGTGACCGAGCAATAAGGTTCATTTCCCGCCTTTAATGTCCATTCCACATGTCCTCCGTATGTGCCATGGCCAAATGGTCACAAATGCATAGCAAGAGATAACTACACTCCTCAAGGAATAAAAAAATATAATCAGTGAGCATGAAGACTGTATTAGCAAGTGAAAGAAGTTTGTACAGTATACTACTTGATTCAGCATTCTATGCACTTCAGCCAAAACAAGACTCCCTATCTCTGTATGCCTTATTTAATGATTTGAGTAACAACTGTCGGAGCTTCACCTCGACCTTACAACACACTTTGTCCTTCACACTCTTGCCATCTCACAACCCCAAACACAGGTGCCAATAAATTACAGAAACTAACATAAACTCCACATTTAATGGTAATACACCAGGATACATTTAATAATTCAATGTCACCTCTTGATTATAAATAAAGATGATTATTATAAATATTAATGTCCGAGGGCAATACTGTACAGTGGAAATATTTGGATCTAAAACACAGAATATTTAAATAGACGACGACGAACACTGGAGTTATTGTACCAAAAGTTACCGTACACACTTCTCGCTCACCCACTAAAACACACAAGACGCTCTGTGGTAAGCCTTCGTATGTATCTATCATTTCTACAGTAGTTTAATTTTAACCGGTGGTGTAACTACACTGGCTTTCTCGCTCAGTTACCTATGAACAAATTCTAATGATTATATTCCAATTACTGTATCTACAGTATTTACAAAAAAAAAATCTATCAAAGAGATGGAAAATAACTTAATTTTACATAAATTTTTGAAAAACAATAAATAAAACACAACGAACCAATTTTCAAGCTTACATTTAATCTTTATATAATTTTTTGTGGGTAATTTAAAATGACAACTGTAATACTCTAAACTTAAGCAGATTATGCTGGAGCTTTATAATTAACTCTGTAAAGACATTAACTTACATAATGATAGTATGTACACAAAAACCTGACCTCAGGAGAATTACTAAGATGGCAGCTGTAAGATGATAGGTGACAGACTACTGAACTTTTCCCGCTTTTATGATGATTATGCTGCCAGTGTTACTGTCGCTGTGGTCACTGCCTGAGTTACTGTCACTGTGGTCACTCTACCTGTGTTACCGTTTGTGGTCACGCTGCTGGTGTAACTGGCTGGCAAACATTTAACCGGAGCCAAAGAGAACAAAATGGCTATTTGGCTTTAATTTGTATATTTCAACTATATTATCTGTCAGGTGTGTGTGTATGGCATCTCTTATTCCGCTGTTGTTCTTGTCTCTTACTCACGCAGTTAGTAAAGGTGTGTGCGATGATGTCACAATTTATCAGCCAGCCACCCCCGTCTGAACGACGAAGTGTAGATACGTAAACCAATTCATGTTTATAATTATGCCATCTTGAAACTCCAGACATCACTGAGAATACCAGTCAAATACTTTGTTTTGTCTGTTGAGATGAATCACGTTCAAAGGTTCACTACGCTAAAATATATACTGTACGTATTATTGTTAGGTTCATTTTCTGATGTAGATACTGTCCTCTTGTTACCCTAATTTTAATCTACAGTATTTGTTGATGTGTACAGTATATGAATTGTATATACAGTATATATGAAGATTTGTAATGAAGTTTTGTTGAAGTTGTTTCTGTTATGTCACTACAGTTACCTATACTGTCTCCCCGTGATCTCTAGTGAATGTTGTAACGCATGAATAATAGTATTCCTGAAAGTAGAGCTGAGAGCAAGCAGTGGCTCTACTGTACTGTTATGGTGGAGATACTTGAGTGAGTGCTCTAGTGTAGCAGAATGTGTGCGAAGAGCAGTGTGGCGTGCGGTCATGCAGTCGTCCCCGTCAGCGCTACAGTCGGGGCCCTCGTGGCGGCCTGCTTGCGTGCCTGCCCCTGTCATTAGCACCCCTCGGCAGATGCCTAGTTGTTCTGCAGTTTTAATCCTCACGTGCGTCAAACTGGTGACATGCTGGCAGCTGAGATGGGCGGAACCATGCCAGGAAAAAGTTCATCATCACGAGCCCAACCCAACCACGAGGAGAGAGAAAGGAAAAAATCAGGCTGAGGGCCGGTATCAACCATGCCTTAGAGAGGTAGTAGTGTGTCCTAGGCCGGGCCACATGCAGCTGGCCGGCCCACGATGCAGGGCGGCGTCAACAGCTAGGAGGGGGCAAAGTCGCTTGTCGTGCAGGCGTCACCCACTGTAGTACACAGGGAGAGAAGCTAAGAGTGAGAGAAAGAGTGAGAGGTCGGGTGAGCCGGACGGCTGGCCTCCGTGCCCCCTGCTGGCGTCATGAGGAGGTGAGGGGGAGAGTGGTGGTGGTGGTGCAGCAAGCGGACAGTTACTTGTGTGTGTGGGCGGGCGGGGCTGGTGACGCTCTCCCCACTTGTCTCTCTCTTGGGCAGCGTGGGGCGGGAGAGGCCACAGTTAGTGTTTTGTGCACCACTACACCTCCATTCAGGCTTTACACGCGCAAACATTGGTACCAAGGAACATAATATGGAACACACAAACAACAAAAAGAATTCACGTGGAAACACCAGATTCAAGAGAGGGTAAATACAAGAGGCTGTTCCAGAGTGGCGTCGCGAGGGAATTTTTGGAACACAAAATGAGACACTGATCATCTTGTGTGTTGGGGAAAAAATATGCACTCAAAAAAGAAAAAAATATGTGCAAAAAGGTGAGAGAGAGAGAGAGAACAAAAAAACCGATATGTAAATGGAGCAGAGTCATTCACTTGCCATATATAAAATCGCAACACCTGTGTTTGGAGAATGAGCTTGGTTAAGAATAAAATCTACGAAGAAAAAGGTTTCTTTTTGGCTCCAAGGAACTAAGAACTAAGTTTGTTAAACTTCTGCCACTTTTAAGCCTCACTAAGACTGTGATCTGTAATGTTGGCTTCAGCAGGATCCTCGGCAGAACAGACACATTTAAGACAAGCTCCCTCCCTTCCCTTACATCAAAGAGTGTCTGGCCATCAGGGACTAAAAAGTGAAAAGTCACGTCCCATTTAGGATCAGTGTGTCCCCATTGCCATGACTGATCCGACCAAAGGAGTTCTCCGCTCAAAATCATGTATTAATATTACCCTTACCATAGCAGAGATTCCTACCGAGGTGAGGACTTATTTCTCTAAGATAAGACTCTTCTACCTCCAGAATTTAACAAATAACAATACACAAAGTGTTACCTTGACTTTCTCATAGGAAACCGAGTACAGTACAGTACAGTACAGTACAGTACAGTACAGTACAGTACAGTACAGTACAGTACAGTACAGTACAGTACAGTACAGTACAATATATATATATATATTATGCCTTTCCTATGATAAACAACACCATTTTTCATGGTTGGATGGGATATAACTATATTAAACAGAAGCTGAGAAAAAGTGAAAAGTCCAGAACCTATACACAGTTGTGTCACAGATATTCAGCATCAACAAGCAAGACTATGACTAACAGCTGTAGTGAAGAAGATAAATAATGATATTGTACCAGCTGACACGGCCATCATTTATTGGAACAAAATTGATCATTAACCTGAACCAGCCACATACACCTGACCATCACCAACCTTACTTAATCAAGCAAGAGCTTGAATACATCAGACCACCTTACTAATAATCTTTTTGTAAGATTACAATCCTGCTTAAGTTAACAAGCCAAGGGGAAGGTGCAGCCAGTAAGAACTTCACATAATTTTCTAACACAATTATAAAACTCATCACTGAATGTAAATTAATTTTCTGTCGGCAAAATTATTCCAGACTTTAATTAAAGATCTGAGTAGGTAATGATATTTTTCTCTCCACATTCAAAGTGACAATTAAATTACCAACACAACTTTTAAGAAGCTGAACTTGACATACATTGTTCCAAAGATTACAATGACAATGATTAAATACGTAAGTACTTTACAACTTAAGGATAAAAATCGAGATGGTGAAAGTTTATAATGCTTGGAGAAGATTACCTTACCCGAATTATTCAAAGATTAAACATCTGAGGACGATGGGACAAAAGAGGATGTGGAAGAGGTGAAAAGAAGCGAAGGTCGTGTGATGAAAAGGGAGACAAGATGGGCGGGAGGAGGTGGAGACAGCATCAATCAGGAGGTTGGGTACACAGCTCTGGTAGACGGTGTACTTTTGGGTCACTCGAATGCTGACAACCAACCATGCTTTTGATGAGCATCTGGGCATATCTCATGCCTCACTTTTTACGATACTGTCTCCATGTTGAAATCACTCCTCTGGTTTTTGTTTGTTCTTGTGTTTGTATATGTAATTGTATTTATACTTGCACCAATAAAAGCCCAAGAAACTTTTTTTACTCCTGTACTTGAGGCAGTATAGATCATATTTTGATAATAACCTGAATTTTCAGGCATAGAAATGACCGCCACGTCCCCTCCTCTCTTCTGACCAGAAAAAAATGACATTAGTCAAGTTAACCTTATGATCACCACAAAAACAGATAAAGAGACCAACAACAGACACACCGCAACAAACCTTATAGATGTACGACACTACTCGCCACTAATAACTGCTCTAGGGTGAAGGTGTGTTGACGATGGAAACCAATGACTACATACAACATAGTTACTAGTAGAGAGGCGCGTGAGGTGCTGTGGTGATGGCTGAACATATGATGAGACTCATCCCTGTAACACAGCTGTAAGAGAAATGTTACAGGTTCACATGACAAGTTCAGCCATCTTGGTGTGTAGTAAAGGGTGTGCACTCAGTCTCTCCCACTGTAGTGTTCTGGCTGTGAGTTTGATTAACCACTGACGGTGTTCACAGACACTTTTTCTGCCTTCTTTATATAACTTGACAGGTTAGCCCCACCCTCCTTCCCTCACCTGGGGATGAAGTACTTCTCCTTCAGTGATAATGAGAGGAGTTTTCCTTTCCTTTCCTCCCTTAATAGTTCACGAAATACTCCGTCCCTCTTACCATTCCACAGTAAACCCCTCCCTTCCTCTCTCAAGAAAATTTCTCTTTTCCTTCTCCCATCCTCTTCCCTTCTTTTGTAACGCCCCTTCCTCCCCCTCATATCAAGGTACTCACCCTGCGGATCTCGGCGCTCTGCCTCTCGTAACGCTCCTGCAGTTGGTCCAGCTCGGACTGGACCTTGTCGAGGGAGGCCTGGGTCTTCTCCTGGCCGATCTGCGCCTTACCCACAGTAGCCTGAGACCGTTCCAGCTCCTCCCGAAGCTTGTCCACCTGACACCAGACACAGTGAGGCATGGGTTAATGACCTTGTTCAGTTAAAGGAGTTAACAACCACACAGGACACTTAACATCCGCACAGGACAGTTAATAGCCACTGACCTCGTTAACCCATCGTTCCCGCTCACTGTGCTGGCGGGCAACGGTAGCCTGGGCTCGCTCCAGCTCCTCTTGCACGCTGTCCTTCTCACTCTGGGCGTTCTCCAGCCGCGCCTTCAGCCGGTAGATCTCCCCCTGGGCCTTCTCCACCTTCTCCTGTAGCTGCTCTACCTGTTACGGGAGGGAGAGGACAGACGCACGAGGAGGTTAACTCTGTAATAAGTGAGTACCTGTATTGGCTCTTCTCTACCTAAAGGGAATGTAGTTTAGTTTGTGTTGTCATCTCCATAGCTATGATCTTTATTACACTTAACTTACTCTGCTACCATTACTTTTCATCACATTATGTAATTATTAATCATTACTTTAATTATCAATATTCTTTAGATATCTTCTTTCTATGTACTCTTTATTTTACTTTAGGTATACTGTATCTTTAATTCAAACTACTACAACTTTTTTATTTACTTATTGTTTTACGTATCTCTCTATCTGTATCTCTCACCCACCTTGTTTCATTAAGTAATATGTTTTACTTCTGTCCACTTAACTGTTGAACAAAGTTAGAATGTTATTGGGATACACATGTACAAACCTTATTGTTATGTTTTATTTATTGGGGTTATTGTTGTTGTTTTACTGCTGGGTTATTAAGTGTTGTTCAATTAGTCTTAGTTTCCACAACAAACAAATAAGTGTATCATCCACTGATAATTACTCCAGGGGCCACTGACGTGTTCAGATAGTCACTGACGTAACTACTGTAAACAATCATAATAATCTTAATAGCTTTAACTAACATGAAACTATGACACGTGATTGGTGCTTTAAGACTAAGCTATTGAAGTACTTGTATACATTTAGATAACAATGAAATATAATGGTAGATTTTCTAAGAATTTTGAAGAAGTTGTACATGAACTTCTTTGGGCTCAGTGCAAAATAACCTTGGCAGCTCATAAATACAAAGCATCAACAATAATGTATTTACCAACCATCAGTCAGTTTACTGTATATCTGTGACGTCTGACAGTTTGCTTAGGATGCCAAATGTGGGTGGAGTTTAGTTCAATAGTCATAGTACTCTTGGTTATTAAACAGTCAGTTGTTATATTAAATGATACTGTGTATATTCTAGTACTTATTTTATTCTTAGCTACTCTGGTCATTCAAAATATCTAGCCATATATACTAGGGCTATTGATATTCCAAAACTTGACTACTTTGGTCCTTCATAATCCAAAACTTGGCTACTTTTGTTATTAATACTAAAAAACCTGCTACTTTGGTTATCATTACTCCAAAAGTTTGCTACTGTGGTGATCAGTACTCCAAAACATTGACTATTGTGTTACAGGTGCTCAAAACTTGGCTACTTTGGTTGTCAATACTCCAAAACATTGACTATTGTGTTACAAGTACTCCAAAACTTGGCTACTGTGGTTATCAATACTCCAAAACTTGGCTACTGTTGCTACCATAGTTCTGCCCGCTACTAACGAAACGGAAGTGATTATTGACCTTTACCTCCACATGGGACCGCTCGTAGTCGGCTTGGTTCATGCGCAGCTCAGTCTGTGCACGGCGCAGTTCTGCCTGGCACTTGTCAAGCTTCTCCTGCAGGCGTTCCACCTCACCTGCCGAGCCCCCGGGGACGGAGGAACGGCCGTAGGTCGGGTGGGAACGTTCCAGGTCGTGGTGCAGCCGCTCATTCTCTGTCCTTAGGCGATCATTCTCCATCTCGATTTTGGTGAGTCGGTGGCGATAGGACTCATAATCGCTGGTGCTCTTGCCCACTTCCCCGTGCATCTTCTCAAGCTCGGCTTTAGCTTTGCCTAACTCAGACTGACTGGACTCTAGCTTGGCTTCTAGCTTGTCCTTCTCAGCTAGAGAACGTTCAAGACGGACCTGTAGCTTCTCCACCTCGCCCTCGAGCGTGTGCAGCTTCATCTTGAACTCGGCGATGTCACGTTCGTGTAAAGACTGCTCCTGGTGTCTCTCCTGCTCTGCCCTGTCTCGCTGTTCTCGCAGCTGTTGGATCTGTTTGTCCTTGTCGCCAATGGCCTCCTCCAGGGAGGTGAGGGCGCCCTCTGAGGTGGAGTGGTGGGCCTGCACCGCTGTCAGCCGGGCCCGGGCCATGTCCACCTGGTTGTCCTTCTCACGGAGCAAATCCTCAAGGTTCTCAATCTGAGGAGCCACATTACTGCAACATCTCTACGCCATCATGACCACACTAACATTCCTGGTACACTATATTACAAGATTTATACCTCACACACCAGACTCTTAGTACACTACTATAAAATGTGAACATGAGAGCTTAAGCACAGACAGACAGATAGACAGACAGGCAGACAAACAGACAGACAGACCACACACACACCAAAAAATAACCCTGAGAAATATCCTTATCAGTCTGTATTACATTAATAAGTATATAGAATGAAATAAAATGTACTAAACCTCACTAGGAACTAAACAATGACATGGACTCTTCACACAGCTATATACACATACTGTACACCAGGAACACATTTATACGACCACACCAACATACACCCACAAGTCATTCATCATCGTGTACACAATATCACACAAACTCAAGACTTTCTGAAAGGAAAAAAACTAATAATAATAACATAAGGATTAATAAAAAAATTAATATTTGGTCAGAGATACCTGATCCTGACCGCAACTACAGGAACTACAAAATGATTTCCCAAATGACAGGTTCCTCGGATTAATAACCCAGTTGGGGTTACCAAGTGAATATAACTTATTTGGACAGATGGATGTATGGCAGAAAAGGTAAAACAGCGGACATTGTGAATTTTACTGGAAATGTGTTTCATCCTTACTGTAAAATTCTCTACATCAGCTTGTGTTTCCTTCTCTACCACACTCCTACCAACAGTATCTTACAGCATTACTGGTACATCTCTGCTACAACTTATGTACATTAAGTCTTCTTCAATTTACTAAAGGGTGGGCAGTATTAGTTCCAAGTTTACAAGGAGAATATATAACTTTTCATATTCCTGCTAGGCCCCCGACTAGCTGGGGCAGTATTACTTGCAGGTCCTTCAGTGATAGAGAAGTCTCAAGGGGTACTGTTATCTACTTTATGTGGTACTTCTTTCTGTGAGGGAGGAGGTTGAAGGAGTACCGTACCTACAACTGGTGGCATCTCTTAAAGTGATGGAAGACCCAGCAGTACTGCACCCTACAGTGAAGAGAGGAGTCAGAGCAGCACTGTACCTGCAGGAGCTACGGATGAAGTGCCTGGACTAATCCAGGCGATCGGATCCTCCGCCCTCAGGCTGGACCAAACATTGGGTGCTACAAGCCAGGGGGTAATACATAACTACAGAAAATAACTTCTGTACCTGATAAACGAAGAAAAGAATCAGAGAATATGAAAATAATAACAAAATAAATAAAAATCTGAATTAATAATAATGAAAGCAAAATACTTCACAAATAATAAAAAGGGAAATACAAGAAATTAAACAATAAATAAAGCAGAACGGAGACGGACAATCAACACATCACACAAACATTCCTCTACACTCGGAACCAATCTATATGTAAATCAGACACAGAGAGCAGAGCTGTTAGTAGTTATAGTGATTATCAAGTTAGTAATTGGGTTAGTTCCAATGCACAGTCAAAAATGATAATGCTCCATTTTTTCATACGTTGTTCATGCTGTAATTAGTGGATGATTGTACACATCTGCCGCTACAACAAGGCAATCTGAAGCTGAGGCAAGTCTGAGTGATTTAATGAATGTGATGACTCTTTTGATGTGTGTGTGTGTGTGTGTGTGTGTGTGTGTGTGTGTGTGTGTGTGTGTGTGTGACAATATCCTTGGTAACAATGACAGTGTAATGGTGATGAGGAAGGGTGATTGTAATGGTGACAATGACTATGATGGTAAAAGTATGAGGATGAGGATGATGATGATAATGATAATGACAATGATGATAATGACAATGGATAATGTATGGCTGTAATAACAACTAACCATCCTGAAAAATAAAATATTGAAACTTGAAATATTTATAAAACAAAAGAAAAATTATCCTACCAATATAACAATAACTTCCTGGACAAACATCAAAGATAATGTCAACATCTCTCTATCTTTACATTACTCTTTAAAGAATGTTCTGAATAATTTTTTTTAATAGTTTGAATACCATGAAGACTTGTATTCTATTTCTACCACGAATCTAACACCCCCCCCCTCACCCCTTCCCCCCCTACAGAATCCTTCATCTTAAACACCTACCCATCATCCCAGACCCCATTAGAGCACATTGACATTACTACAAACTAACCTTTAAGTAATCTCTAATTAAGGAGAATTATTATCCCAAGATCATTAGCAAATTGTGGCTCATCTACCTTATACCCTAATCACCTCCAGTACCTTAACTATCCATTAGTCTTGAGAGATAATGAGGGTTTGATAAGGGGGGGGGGGAACCCAAACTACTATGTGTATCAACATTTGGTCCACTGTAGTGTTGTGTTATGATGGCTGTGGTAATAAGCTGATTCTTACACTTGTATTATTTAATCTTATCTCTCTCTATTCCTCGTTTACTCGTCTTTATGTTATTCCCTTATTTCATCTTGTTTATCATCCTCCCTTGAGTATTTTTTTCTTTTTTTTCTATTCTGACTCTCTCCTTTCCTTTCCACTGTCTCATTTTCTCCCCTCCTTCCCATTTTCTTCCCCCCCCCTTCCTTCTCTCTACTTTATCCTCTCCCTTCAGATTTTACTTGAATCTCTTCCTATTAATTATATTTCTTTGATCAATAACTACAGAGAGATTTCAATTAATAATGGGTACAATTAGTTGGCAGAGAACATCATTTTAAATTTAATTATGATGGTACAAACATGGAAGCTCAGGTCCTAGCACCCTCAACCCTGAGAGTCATATAAATACCCTGGAGACCTATTTTCCTGTGACTCGCATCCACCAGGAAAGAAAAATATATTTACATTTATCTTATAATCTTCTTAACCTCTCTTTCACTTCTTTAAATTCTTTCCTCTTTAAACCTCATTTTTTTCCATTTCTTGTAATTCAAAGTTGTTTTATTTGGGATGACTCGTGGGTTTTTTTTTATGGCATCTTGTTTTTTTTGTGTGTATTTTTTTAATTTTAAGGCATCACTTTTTTATTTTGATTAAGATTTTTATCTAAGTTCCCGTTCTGTTGTTTTTGGGAATGCGATATGATTCTTTTTTTTTTGTGTCTGTACAACTATGAATGACTCCACACTAAGCTACACTCAAGTCCCTCCCTTTACACACACACTTTCTCTCTCTCTCAACCCACACGTTCATCTGACCTTTCACGGCGCTAATTTTGCGAGCCTCCTATCAGGCAGCTCCCGCCAGCCCCTCATAAACTGGACCAACTTTAAAAGCTAATCTTTCTCAGCAGAATATTGGCTAACTTTCCTAGCCATCTGGTGCATGACCCTCCCCATTGCCCCTTCACGAGCCCTAAACACCCTCACACAGAACATTCAGTAGCTAATATCCCTTGCAGGACCTTAAAGCATCTACAATAGACCTTCAGGGTTTGCTGCTCCAGTTAACCTAAACCCGCAGTCCTGTATTAGGCTTATAATATACAGTATAAATATATATATCAGCCATCAGATCAAGAAAGTTAATAGATTTTTCATTTTATTTAATTTAAGTTCGTTTATTATTTAATCTTTCATCTTTATCAGACCTCCATCACTTGCTGTCTTCCTCTACCTGTTATATCTTCCTTACAGTCCCACAGGAGCTTCATCCATAACCTTTCCCCCAGATCTGACATTTCAGTGTTTAATGTCCACAGTCTGGCCTCTCCGTGCAAGACCAGCTATCACCTCCCCCTTACGACTACTCTCCCAACTAATCCCTTCTGTTGCGTTCCCCCTTTATGTTAATCTTACATCTGGCTTATATACAAATGGTCCCTCAAATTGCCTTTCCTAGTGTATGTATAAGACTTCTGCATCCCCCTCCTGCTGCATCTAACATTGCCTCTATCACTTTGGGAAGACTGTCTTCCTTATACCATAATGACCCCTCAGCAAACCTTTAGTTCCTGCTAGGCGCCTCTCCGAACTTCCTAGGGCCTACCTTCCTCTGCAGGACATTGATCTTCCTGTCCTTGATATCCATGTGGTCGCGGAGTTCGGTGAGCTCTGAGTTGAGTTTGTTCCTCTCCTGAGTGGTCTGCAGCGCCTGCTGGGTCTTCTTCTCGATGGTCTTATTCTTCTCCTCCAGGCGCTGACGTAACTCCTCCACCTGGCGAAGGAGACCGGGGGAATGCTGCTGTAAACCAAAGCACACGGGGTCTCCCATATATCCTGCGTCTTGTAGGGGATATAGGCTTCCCTATCGTCGCTATGGACTTATATCTTGACCAGGTCAGCCACCATACATATCCTCAACACCTTCCTCCTTCAGGATATGGAACATCCTCTCTGTTCTTTGTAACAGTGGGAGGGTGAGGATATATATAGCTGAAGGTGCAAAATATAAACAATGTTGACACGCGTGTGGTGTTCTTGCTAGCCTGGTAGGTTAGCGGAGCCACCACCGTCGCCTGTCAACACAGCAGCGATGAATATGTACCCAAGCATGGCGAGGTGCTGGCTGTGCGGGTAACATGGACAGGGAAAGCTAAATTATCTTCATCATATTTGCATCGGTGCATTGGCTTTGCAGTATAAGTAAAACAGATGTTTGGTTAGTAATTGGCTACATATAGCACTTTGGATACTGTATGGATATTGTCATGCTTGGTGCTATGGTTACTTCACGCCTCTCAGAGGGCCAAGACTGAAGTTATTAATGCAGAACTGAGGATGTGTTCGGAAATAAATTCTTCCATTTTCTTTTAAACATTTGTTCCGTAACACCAGTGAAAGAAAATTCTCCAGGAGGCTTCGAAAATTAAAGTAAAGAAGCCAAAAAATAGTGATGGCCAAGAATTTGTGTTCCGAACATGTCCTAACTTATAATACCGGGGTCAAGTAGGTTATATAATGCATACATGGTACAGGGGGGAATGCAGTAGGTGGAATATGTACAGAGATAATGTCCGTGTGCTTAGAATCTGAGCTGAAGTATTTCAAAACTTACAGATAATTTGCTCTCAGATAGTGCAACACCTGCCTGGCCATGCACTCACCTACCCCAAAAACACTTCACTGTCCTGACCTCACCTTTGACCTACAACCACCATCAGAGAGTCATACGAGCACTGATTGGCTCATATAAAATCACCACGTTATTACTATAGTTAGTTTGATCATTAGTTAAATATAATAGTGACTAAAACTAGATCAGGAGAGGCAATACCATCTCTCCCAAATGCCAGGCGGGTGTGACTGAGAGGCATTAAAAACAGGGGTCGTTCAGTTGCTCAGATTCCCCATGCAACAACAGCAATGTGAAAAAAATAATTGCTGTATGTATGCAGGTGTACTATAATAAATTGGAGTGTCGTCTGCAGCATATACAGGAAAATCGAGCAAAGTGTTGAGTGGTACATTTGGTGCTGACAACGTGACGCTTGAACCCTGAGTGACGCTTAACCTTGAGTGACGCTTAAACCTTGAGTGACGCTTGAACCCTGAGTGACGTTTAAACCCTGAGTTACGCTTAAACCTTGACCTCACTATTCCTCCTCTCCTTCGCTATTTCCCTCACTACCCCTCTCGCTATCTCCCTCTCTCTTTCCTCTTCTCCCTCGCTACCACCTTCTCCCTCGCTACATCCATCTCTCCCTCTCTACCTCCCTCTCCCCTCACACAAAGTTTACGTTTTTGTGAATATATTTCCATCCTCGTTTCAAGTGAGAGGAGGAAAGAAAAGAGAGAGAACTACAAAGGTATTTTTCAGCCACCATCCTGCACTTCCCCTTCAGGAGTAAAACAAAAATAAACGATTACCAAGATGTTTTTCCTTGACGTGTTTACCTACTTTCAAAACAACTTATTATTCCCACACAAAAAAAAAGAGAGAGAAAAAAAGATTCCTTCACTCATCCAATATTTAGAATCCTTACATATTTCTCTTTTATATACATTTATTATCCTGTAGTTATTTTCTTATATATATTAAAAAAAAGTCTTGTTATTTTTTGTCGTTTAGTTGTAATTGATTTTTGTTTTGTTAAATTTAAGATAAAAAAAAAATATAGTCTTCAATGTCCTCTTTTTTTTTTTCTTCACTCAAGTTGGGGACACGCCAGAGCTGGGTCCAAGGAGTGTTAGGATGTCTTGGGATATGTTGGGTTGGGTTAGGATGTGTTGGGTCGGATTGGGACGTGTTGAGTCGGATTGAGATGTGTTGGGTCGGATTGAGACGTGTTGGGTCGGATTGAGACGTGTTGGGTCGGATTGGGACGTGTTGCGAAGGCGTGCGATTTGGTGGGACGTGTATGGGGGGGTGATGAGACAGTTGGAGAGGAATCTGAATGGATTAATATGTATTGGGAAAGGTCGACACGCTCTGGGACAGCTTGTGACGGGTTGAGATATACTCCGAGACAGTGTGGGACAGGCCGAGACAGGTTGGAAAGTCCTGGGATAGATTGAAAGCTGTTAGGACGAGTCGGGAAGCAGTGGGACAGGTCGGGAGGAGTAGAGTAAGGTCGGCAGGTGTCGGGTGAGGTCGGGAAGGAGTGGGACAGGTCGGGAGGTGAAGGGTAAGGTCGGGAGGCGTTGGGTTAGGACAGTCAGGAGGTGTCGGATAAAGTCGGGAAGCAGTGGGACAAAGGTCGGGATGCGCAAGGGACAGGTCGGTAAGCATTGGGGACAAGTCGGGATGTGCAGGGCATGGTCAGGAAGCACTGGGGACAGGTCGGGAGGGGTAAGGGTGGGGAGGGGTGGAAGGGTGGAGAGGGGTAAGGGAGGGTGGAGGGGTAAGGGAAGGGTGGAGAGGGGTAAGGGAAGGGTGGAGAGGGGTAAGGGAAGGTGGAGGGGTAAAGGGAAGGGAAGGGTGGTGAAGGGAAGGTGTGTGTGTGTGTGTGTGTGTGTGTGTGTGTGTGTGTGTGTGTGTAGTGAAGGTGTGTAGGAGAGCGGGTGTTTGGGGTGGGAGTGCCGCGTGCCATCACTGCCGCTGTGGTAGAACTCAGCTTTAATTGGTCCAGAGTAGAGCAAGACGTGGGTGGATACCAGTCTTTCTGATGGGAGGGAGGGAGAGAGAGAATGGAGGGAGGATAGGGAGAAGGGAGGAAGAGAAGGGGTAGGGAGGGAGGATACTAGGGAGAAGAGAGGGGGGGATGATATGAATAAGGGAGGGAGGATGATAAGGAGAAGGGAGAAAGAGAGGGAGAAGGGAGGGAGGAGGATAGGGAGAAGGGAGGAAGAGAGGGATATGGGAGGGAGAAGGGAGGGATTATGATATAGGGAGGAGGGAGAGAGGATCATAGGAAAAGAGAGAGTGAGAGAGAGATGGACGGTGGATGACAAGAAGAAGGGTGAGAGGTAAGGAGGGTGGGAGGAGAAAGTCGTGGTAAGGAGGAAAATAAGAAAGGAGCAATGATGAGGGATTGTAGGCGAGGTAAGAGGGATGGAGGAAAGTAAAGAGGGAATGAGAGAGGAAGGCAAAACAAGGCGGATGTAAGGAAAGAGGAGTCAATACGATAGGAAGTGAGATAGTAGAGAATACAGAACTACAGGGGAGAGGAGACCGAATAAGAGAGGGAGAGAAAGGACACACAAAATACCAGGGAGGGAGGATGAACGATAACGAACGAGAGAGAGAGAGAGAGAGAGAGAGAGAGAGACTGGCTACTCCACATCTCCCTCACACACTGGTCGAGGCGCTGACTGTGTTGAACAATAGCACCAAAGATCCATCGAGGCAGAACCTGATTCCTGTGACTCGTTAGAGCGAATATACACATATTTATATATATTGCATGAAATCCCAGCACCTGTCGACACCTCCCAGCACCTCTCGACACCTCCCAGCACCCCTTGACACCTCCAACCACCCTTGACACCTCCAACCACCTGACACCTAACCACCCCTGACATCTCCAACCACCCTTAACACCTCCAACCACCCCCTGACACCTCCAACCACCCCTTGACACTTGACACCTCCAACCACCCTTGACACTCCAACCACCCCTAACACCTCCAACCACCTGACACCTAACCACCCCTTAACACCTCCAACCACCCTTGACACCTCCAACCACCCCCTGACACCTCCAACCACCCCTTGACACCTCCAACCACCCCTGACATCTCCAACCACCCCTTAACACCTCCAACCACCCCCTGACACCTCCAACCACCCCTTAACACCTCCAACCACCCTTTAACACCTCCAATCACCCCCTTGACACCTCCAACCACCCCCTTGACACCTCCCTTGCAACTAGAAGGCGTGTGGGATCCCAATGAGGTCCTATATAAAAAGTTGGATACCTATCGACTTCGGTGAGAGAGGGGGGGGAGAGGGTTGCCTCAGGGTATGAACCACCGACCATTAAAACAGGAAACGAGAGTTGTATCCCCTCGCCCACCTCAATGGTAATTAACCCTAGTTTATGTGATATAACGAAGTCTTCTATAGCCAGAGTTATAACATTAAGAGGAGAGTCTAATTGAACGCAATATTATACTGTTCTAATGGAGCCTTATGAAGCCTCGGTGGTGCCGTTACAAATGAATCTAATTAGTGTTAAGTTCGAGTAATCTCACAATACAGCGTCCGATTCTTGATATAATGAGGCTTCACGAGGCATCCCCGATTTACATGGGTTAAGTGAGGTGAGGTGAGGTGAGGTGAGTGAGGTGAGTGTATAGGGCCACTGAATATCATGGCCACTGAGTATCATGGTCACTGTGCATTGTGGCCACTGAGTATCATGACCACTTGAAAGACCTCAAATGCACGAGTTCTCGGATTTTCATATAAAGGAACAGAAGCCTTTGTTAACTTAATATACGGTACGGACACTAGAGAAAAGGATTACTTGCCTTTGTTATCTCAAGCGGGTTTTCAACAATAACAAGACGAAATATACCCACACATATATACCATAAGGGGATTACTGCTAGTCCCCAGAGCTTGAGCAATAGTCTATTCTTCAGGGGTCGAGTAATGGTCTGCTAATCTTCAGGGGTCGAGTAATGGTCTGCTAATGTTCAGGGGTCGAGTAATGGTCTGCTAATGTTCAGGGGTCGAGTAATGGTCTGCTAATCTTCAGGGGTCGAGTAATGGTCTACTAATCTTCAGGGGTCGAGTAATGGTCTACTAATCTTCAGGGGTCAAGTAATGGTCTACTAATCTTCAGGGGTCGAGCAATGGTCTACGGGACTTAGTTTACAGCACCAAAGTACACACTAACACATTAATCTTGGTGGTGGGGGGGGGGGGACAGTCCACTGGTCTTGTGAGTTGACTGTGAATGGTTGCTCGCATGACTCACAAGTCGTCAAATGGTCTTTTGGGTCGACCTATGAGTACTTAAATGAGTCATAAATCGTTGACTGTCCTTGTGAGCCAACTGGTGTAAGTCTATGTGTACTCACGTGGCTCTTACGTCAGGGTGTAGGAGAGTTGGGTGATGTCTGTGGTGCTGGGGAGTAGTCACGTCAGCCTGGCTCATGTTGTAGTGACATGGGGAAGTGTGGACTGACATGAACGTGTGTGTGTGTAGAGAGGAGAGGAAGTACTCACACCAGCTTGAAGTACTCGTGTAATGGTTTGAGTACTATATACAGTACTATCAATACACAGTACTAGAGTATATGTGTAGCGACTTGTGAAGGTGGGGTAATGTGATCAAAGAGTGAAAGAAGTAATGACACGATTCTCTAAATTCTGAGTGAGATGATGTGAGTCAGTGGTTGGAAGAGAGACAGATTACTCACACGAGCCTGGCGCATGTTGTAGTGACATGTGTGGGGGGGCTCACATGCAGTGGTGGTGTAGAGTGAGCATGTGAGCATGTGGTAGAGACTATAAGGAGTACTCACACGAGCCTGGCGCATGTTGTAGTGACATGTGTGGGGGGCTCACATGCTGTGGTGGTGTAGAGTGAGCATGTGAGCATGTGGTAGAGACTATAAGGAGTACTCACATCAGCCTGGAGCATGTTGTAGTGTTCCTCCTTGGCACAGAGGGATTCTTTGAGCACGGTGATGTGTCGCTGGTAGTCAGTGTGTTGTTCCTCGAGAGTCTTCATCTTGGCCGACAGTGCTAGGATCTCCTGGTCCCGCTTCTGGATCTCCAGCCGAGACTCCTCCAGCTACAGGAAGTAGTGAGTTAGTGAACCATCCAAGGCGTGTTATCTGGTATAGCCGCAGGGGGCCAGCTAACTCTACAGTGGGTCAACAGCACATAAGGTGGGAGGTGCGTACTCTAGTTGGTGCTCAAGATAACACACAAAACTTCAACAGGACCTAAGTCTTTCACACGTTTGACGACCTAAGACCAGTCATTCTAATTTGTACTTCTTTTGTTTATAAAATTTCTAATAATTACAAAATACATAGAGCAACTATTATAAGTGCTGTATCTCAATAATAAAATAAGCCAATTAAAAAAAAAGTCTTAAAAACTACAGGTGAAAAAAGACTGATGGTGTAAATATAATTATCATTAAATCTTAGTAAAGTGAAACATAAATTTTGACTTGATTTTTTTTGGGGGGGTTAAGGGGATAGGGGGGGGGGGTGGATTTATGACCGAGGAAAACCATTAGCATTATTAAAAACAGACAATAAAACTTTTATCTCAGGAAAATGTAATTGCAAAATACTAATTGTGGTGAAGAAAACATAACAGTGAAGCTCCTACACAGGCAGATAAACACAAAGCCAAAATAAAGAACATGAAAGCCAAAAAAATATCTATATACACGTATCCTACACACAGATACACACACACACATCGAGAGAGTTAAAACCTACAACACAAATGCCCGAATCTTTGGGCTATCAAAACTGGAGACTCCAAAAATTATCCTGAAAAAGCATATAAACTCATACACACAACCTATGAAAAACGGAAATAATGAAAACTGAACCAATTTCTATTCTAACCAAAAATATATAAACAAAAGAATGGTAAATTATGACCATCACAGGGCACACACACTCACAACAGTAAAACGTTATACATGACAGATTGTGAAAAGTAGGGCCAGGGGTGAAGGAAGAGTGAGGGAGGTGAGGAGGGAGGGAGGGAGAGAGAGTAGGTAAACGTACTATCCCTCCCTCCCTGCCTACCTGGCCTCATGACCGTCCTTCACACCTGACCAGGTACCCAACAAGAGGTCCAGGTGGTGCTAACATGATGGGTGGGTCGCCTCACTCACCTCGTGTACCCTGACCATCGTACTGTACACTGACGCAACACAGGGAGACACGAGGCTCGCTGAGGTTCGCCATATTGCCTCGAGGTGGTGAGATAAAACCATGCAGAGGGAGACGGTCATTCTCATGGTAGCCAACTTACCTCTAGCTAATTATTGGCAATCAGATTAACGAACACACAAGCCGTTAGGGCAAGTGAGCATCATTCAGTAACTAAGTTTTAAATCTTAACAAAAAATTGCAAGAAAAGTAACAACGGCTTAGTTTATTTTTTGTGCAAATCTGTATTTTATTCTGTATTAAAAGTGTTGCTAACTTTTCTTGTAATTTCCAATATGGCCGTCAGATGACAGCTGCCTCCTGGAGACCCATGACGTCACACACATAAACAAGAGGCCGCCACGCCCTTCACTTGTACACCAGACAGTCTCCACCAAGATGCTGGCGAGGAAGCTCTAATAATAAGAACACATATTACTCTACAAACAATCGACTCCACCACAAGTCGCCGTGTGTCTACAGGAAGGTGTGGGTGTCTCTGGCTAATTACAATACCAATATGAAAACATTAAATCATGAATTGCTTTAGGGAAGTCTCCAGTGTCCCTATAAGAAGAGAGCTGATTATATTCTTAAATTTAACATTTGCCTTAATCGTGTCAGAGCCCCGCGGGGAGAACTGCGAGTCTGAGGAAGTGTGTGGGCGTGGCAGCCCCTTGCGACGTCACCGTCCAAGCGACCACAACTTACTTGCGACTTAGCTTTGCGCTCCCGCTCCTGCAGCACCTGGAGGAGGCGTGAGTCATCGGTGGGCGGAGGCGTGACTAGGGAGGCGCGGGAGCCCCAGCGAGAGCCGGACAGGCCACCTCCGATGAGGCCCCCCCCTAGGCCCGCCCCTCCCGACTCTCTGGCCATGGCCACCTCCCCCTCCAGGAGCGCCACCTCACGCTCCAGCGAAAGGATACGCGCGTCCTTGGTCTCCAACAGCGCCGTCAGTGTGGCCGAAGTACCGGCATCAGTAGCAGGGCCGTTGAGCCCCCACGACCCCGCGAAGCTATGGTCGTGCTCGCGACGCAGCCGCTCCGCCGCCTCCAGGGCCTCCTGCAGCCACACCCACACCCGGTCAACCGCAGGCTAGTGCCGCACACTCCAACACCTCAGGCAACCACTACTTGCCGCACACTCCAACAACCGCAAGCAACCACTAATGCCGCACACTCCACGGCCAACACACTACACGCTCTCCGCATCCCACAACAACCTCTGATTGTCGCACCTCCTTGTGTTAACGACCAGGACCAGCTGTGTCACACCACCCATCATAATCCATCGCATAACCACATAATGAATCTCACCTGAACCAATTATTGCTCCTTTTCTCCCAAGACGTTCTGTTGAGCAAAAATTTTCTGCAAATTTACCTGACATGGAGAACGTTTCTCTTTGTCTCTCCGGAATAACCCACTTTATTGGCCAATGGTTGAGCAGTGTCATTTATTTTATCTCCTATAACAGACAATCAGAATTTGCAGTGAGGTTGAGAGAACGTTTTAATGCTTGTGCTACAGACAGACAGAGGGAGGGGGGAGGGAGGGGAGAAGTAACACACAGTACACACCCACACCACAACATTACTGTGTGACCCAGCCAGATCATTGTTTCGCCCAGGGACACCACAGCTACCAGGTCACCCTGAGTCTTCCTAACCGCACAGCTGGGTGGGTCACTCAGGGTCACCAGACAGCTGGCTGGGTCACTAAGGATGACCACACAGCTGGCTGGGCTACTCAGGGTCATCACACAGCTGACTGGGTCACTAAAGATGACCACACAGCTGGCTGGGTCACTCAGGGCCACCAGACAGCTGGCTGGGTCACTCAGGGTCACCAGACAGCCAGCTGGGTCACTCGGGGGTTTCCACACAGCTGGCTGGGTCACTGAGGGTCACCACACATCTGGCTGGGTCACTCAGGGGTACACAGCACAGGTGAAGATCAACATACAGCTGATTGGCTTAACCGGCATCACCAAAGGCTGTCTGGATCAACTAATTTCAACACGAAGCTTTTAGGATTAATTATAGTCATCATAAAGTTGTTTGAGTTACATGAGGTCACCACACATCTATCTGGGTCAAACAGGGTTATCAAACAGCAGTTCAGGTCAAAGGTCATGACGAGAGTGTTGGGTGGGTGAGTGAGGGCCAACATGCAGCTGTCTTGGTAAAACAAAGTCATCACACAACCGTCTGGGTCAACCTGGGGTTACACCATATGTGTATCTAGGTCAAGGCAGACCAGCAAACAATCGTCTGAGCCAACTAAGGTCACCAAAAGATGGTTTAGATCAGCTAAGGTCAACACACTCCTGTCGGAGTCATCTGCCAAAACAATACAGCAGTCTTGGTCACTTACGGTCACTGCAGGTGTTTGAGTCAGTAGGACCATCAAATAATTAACGAGTTCGACCAAAGTTACAGGTAAATGTCCGGGTCAAATGACGTCACTATATGACTATAAAACGGATCACCACGCAGCTGTCTGGGTCAACCATGGTCACCACACAGCTGTCTGGGTCAACCATGGTCACCACACAGCTGTCTGGGTCAACCATGGTCACCACACAGCTGTCTGGGTCAACCATGGTCACCACACAGCTGTCTGGGTCAACCATGGTCACCACACAGCTGTCTGGGTCAACCATGGTCACCACACAGCCAGCCTGGGTCAACCATATCACTACACAGCTGTTTGGGTCAACCATGGTCACCACACAGCCGCGTTCAGGTCAACCATGGTCACTACACAGTTGTCTGGGTCAACCATGGTCACCACACAGCTGTTCACAACCATGGTCACCACAGCTGTCTGGGTCAACCATGGTCACCACACACAGCTGGGTTGGCCAAACGGCGGTCACCACACAGCCAACGGGTCAATCTGTGAGTCACCACACAGCTGTCTGGGTCAACCATGGTCACCACACAGCTGTCTGGGTCAACCATGGTCACCACACAGCTGTCTGGGTCAACCATGGTCACCACACAGCTGTCTGGGTCAACCATGGTCACCACACAGCTGTCTGGGTCAACCATGGTCACCACACAGCTGTCTGGGTCAACCATGGTCACCACACAGCTGTCTGGGTCAACCATGGTCACCACACAGCTGTCTGGGTCAACCATGGTCACCACACAGCTGTCTGGGTCAACCATGGTCACCACACAGCTGTTTGGGTCAACCATGGTCACCACACAGCTGTCTGGGTCAACCATGGTCACCACACAGCTGTCTGGGTCAACCATGGTCACTACACAGTTGTCTGGGTCAACCATGGTCACCACACAGCTGTCTGGGTCAACCATGGTCACTACACAGTTGTTTGGGTCAACCATGGTCACCACACAGCTGTCTGGGTCAACCATGTTAGAGTAACTGTGGTCACTACTTCAGTTTTGGGTTATGAGAGGCTACCAGACTGATAAGTGACTCACGGGAAGTCATTGGACTACTGTACTACTTTAGTCAACCGGAGCTGCCAGACAGCAACCAAGGTCAACTAGGGTCGACCAGGTTCATCAGAAATGATAGCTGGGGTTAACCATGATGCCCCAGATACCTGCAGGGACCACAGATCATGATACACCTGCCGGGAACCATTTTAAGTCAGCAGGCAGTTGTCAAGCACATCTGGGGTCAGCGTACAGGTGTCTAGGTCAGAGAGGATCACCAGATACACACGTACACACACACGGACGCTAACAGAAGCTGAACATAACAGACTCCAAAACTTGAATGATTGAACAGACGGAACATGCAGGCAAAAAAGACGGAGAGCAAGAAGCGTGGGTCTTCCGTCGAACATAAGTACCAAGGGACAAGTTGTTGAGTGGGGGGCGAGTATATACTAGTAGTCTGAACGACCCAATTAATTGCCTCATTTATAGTGCAGTGCAGTTTAGGATCAAGGTGGACTACAGCTCAAGCTTCTACAATAACAGATGGATGACGTCACGCACAGGGTTATTAACTCTATCACGTGGTGAACAACGTTATGTCTAGGCTAAGTTATTCATCGGTGACAGGAGGGAGGCCTACCAAAACAAAGCGTTTACAAGAGGTTAAATTGAGAGACATAATCTGATAAAATGGCAGATTGTTTGCAATGCAGTTCTTCTACATCTGAAATGCATTTAACAATGAGCAGGCACCTTAATAAAATTATATATGCATTTTTATAAAGTAAGGAGAGTCTTGTTTATCACTTGAGATATGGATCTGAATATCAAAGTAAAGCAAGTTTGGCAAGACAGATGTTTGATCAAAGAAGTGATCATACTAACACAATGATCAGCTGAAACAGTCATTATAAATGTTGAGATTCATTAAGTTAGTCTGAGAGAGATAGTAAGGGAGGGAGATAGTCTAAAGAACTAATATATTAAGAGTTATATCGAGGTTTAAACAGGTTATATCCTAAGTGAGAGAATGATTGGTAGTCTATTCATAAATAATCATTATCGTCAACCCTTAAGCAAGTTTTGACGTGTGTATGTGTGTGTGTATATATGGACCAGAATCCTTCTCTCTTGATGGTATAAAGTGGGTGGGTGTGGGTGTGGTGGCAGCACAGTCTACTTATACCCGAGTACAACAACATCTACCCTGGGGAGGCGCAGGGCCAAGCTACATCCCTTCAACACACTCTTCCACTAACAACAACAAAATGGAACCAAGTGAAATAAAGATACCAATTTACCAGAACAATCTGCAGTGGTGTTGATGTTTGAGTCGAGAGGAGTATTGGGGAATCATATCATGAGGAAGTGAGGGATCTTCCAAGACCAGGGAATCTACTGGTGAGCGGCAGGATAAGACTGACGGAGACGATGACGGGGGTGTAGCGTGATGTACCTTGGCCCCTGGCGTGTTCCCCCACTACCACTACTGAGGAAGGTCTTCGCTCTACGCTATGTGTCTCGGGTCGCTGCTCCACAAGCACCCGGGGCGAGGTCCTCCCACCACCGAGTGCTTGTCGATGCTTACCTTGGTCTATAGCAACTCCTAAATCTAGCTAGAATAATCCCTGAGCTAGCAAGGCATTATACTCGGGTACAGTCTACTTTACCCCGGGCAGGAGTCTACCTATACCCGGGCACTTGGCATCCCTCACCATGGACGCGGTATCGGTGCCTAGTCTGTCTGTCAGGCAGGTAGATAGGTCACTCGGACTGAGTCAAGCAACTGGTTCGTTAACAAGTAGAACACTCATTAACGCAGCATGATACTTAAGTGGCTGTACAAAGTGTTCATGACAGTAAATACTTCATGACTGCACTACTTACATGTAGTGAATGTACTAATATGTCTTATGAGTCCAAGTGATTAATAATTTTCACAATTTAAGTAATATTATCATCAATTACAACAACATGTCGAATAAGGATTTGTCGTTTAATCATCCTGTTTTCGCTCTAAGCGTCAAATCCCATGACCTGCAGCTGACGGCAAGTCAAGGGGCTAACAGGTGGGTGTGAGGCGGGATAAAACGGGTTGTGGGCGTGGGTGGTGGCGCAGGTGGGGGTGACCAGGCTGGCGGGGGCGGACTCGCTGCCCGGGCGGCTGCTGATGACGGCGGACCGGAGGTGGCAGGGTCGGGCGGCTCACTCAGGGTCAGCTGCCCTCACCTACCACGCGTGTGTGAATGTCACTCCCGACTCCTTGTTCACACACAGACACAACAAGACGGGATATATTTAACCCTTCACACACACCAAATACCGCTTCTAATTTTTTCTAATTTTGCTTTGATTTTTTAGTTCAGTTTTAGGGAAAGTGGCAGGGAGGCTGATGCGGCCCGACCCGCCACCCCGAGGGGCGTTACATAGCGCTACTCACCTGGCGAAGTTTCTCACAATCGTCCTCCCGCTGGTGTAGTATGTCCCTCACATGGTCCATCTCATTCTGGGTCTCCACTAGGCGCGCCCGCATTTGTTCCAACTCTACTGACCCTTCCTCATCTATATTTTTATCACCTATAACAACATGCAACAGCGCCATCAATGATGTGACAGATGCGAGGCGCTACAGCCGACACAGTGAGCACGGCAACACGTTGTCACTAGACTACTGGTGGGGGGGGACGCCGGGCCGGGAAGCTTCACCCTCCTGACTCAAGGGGGGGGGGGGTGTACTTATAGTAGGGGGGAAGGAAAGGTGGAGAAGAGGCAGGGAAGTCTCCATAAACTGGATGTTTATATCTACTTATTTTAAGGCTCCATACAAACCAGTTAAACAGTTGGATGAACATCAATGTTATACAGAGTCCAGTCCTAGCCAAGGTCTGTCTGGGGCAAGTTGATATTGCTACATGAATCAACAGAAACCCCCCAAAAGTCATTCATCACGGGGGTCGAGGATGCTTCGTCCAGCCAGCTTCCCATGCCCGCCCCCCAGACTACGGCCTGTGTCCCACAACTCTTCTTTTTTAACTGAGTTAGTCATGAACTCCATTTTCCATTTTCTTTGAATTTAAAAAGTATTTAATGGGTATCTTTAGTCTTTCACTCAAGTCAGTAATGCATGATCATGAGAGACTAAATATTAACATGCCGGTAAGAAGAGTTTTGGGACGTTAACATATGGCAGGCTGATAGAGGGACACAGCTGGGACCAGGAGGCGGCCGTGGCGGTGGATCAGAGGATGAGAAAATTGTGAAAAAAAAAGCTACAGAATCGTGATCAAGTCACTCGCTGGTGATTATGTGGAAGCATTGTTTAAGACTTAAAAGGTATTCTGTACAAGTTGGAACTCTTGACCGTGTCCTGAGGAGCAGTAGGAAGTAATCTAGCACTCAGACTAAAGTGAAGAGGGACGAGGTGTCTGGCTGGGGGGTGCAGGCGGGCACCAGCTGAGGTACTCGTCTACCCCCCCCACCGACCATGGACGCGGTCAAGAGTCTCTCTACTATCTCAAGTCCTGAACAGCAAGATCACTTTAAATGTCATGTGCGGTAAGTCAAGACTGTGGCGGAAGATAATATTTACTCTGTGCACCATCATTTGTGTGCAAGCGGCGCCTTGGGTTTTATATCTCCATGAGGGTTCAACAACATCCCCCAACCACCGAGACGGCCATACTGTATCGGACATAATCATGATGATAGTAAAAAGAAACATATAATAATAAATACAAGACCAGGGAAGCTGCACCTGTTTCTGAAATACTGCCTGCATCTGTTGCATCATCGCCCGCTCCTCCTCCTTGCCTGAAACACAGTCGGAGATTGGTCACCCGGTCACAACATCAGATGGCGTCACGGGAGGGATCTGACCTATCAGGGATCTGCTAACAGTGACGTCATGGGGAAGTTATAACCTATCCGGATCCCGCCAACAATGACGTCATAGGGAGATTAGACTATCCAGGTCCCGCTAATAATGACGTCAGGAAAGTAATAATTGGTTATGATGTGCCAGTAGTGACGTCAAAATCTCAGGGGACGGTGTCAGAATACGATGTGGGGTTATCGGCAGCTCCCGTGAGTGGCGACAGGATACTATACAAGAGGGGAGGGAGCAGGAGATGGGGGGGAGGGGGAGGAGGGAGGGAGGGAGAGGGAGGGGTGGCTGACGGAGACAAAAATCACTCGCCAATCATACAAGGAAGGGAGGGAGGGAGGGAGGGAAATAAGAGAATGACAATATATTCAATTAAAATCATAAAATCTTGGTTAATTTTAAGTAACTTCTGTATAATAATAAATTAAGTCAACAGGATTACACTAGAGCGAAGAATTCTGAGAGAAACTTCGCCAATCGATGGAATCAGGCTGAAAATATACGAAAAACTGTGATTTGTAAAACTGTGATAAATCCTTAGTGGTGAAGGGGAAGTAAGAATAAGCTGTAAGGTACAGTATTGTGGCGGCCTATCTGAGCAGCGTTACTACCTGGGATCATTACAGCACAGGTGAGTAGTTGTGTGGTTCCCGAAACATTATGAGTGACTTTATTTACTGTGACAGCAATGAGATGATGAAAAAAATAAAATAATCCAGTGTTGTGAGATGACTGTGGTATTATTTCCTTCTCTGTTTACGGAAAGAATCACACAAGTACAGCTACACCTGGATGCTAACAATCATTATAATCGTAAAATATCACAAAATTCCCATCATAATATTATCTATTCTAAAACGTACAGGTAAAACAAGTATTCCAGTTTATAATGTTAATAAAATCTCAAATTAATTCGAGTTTATGTATTTGTTGTGGGGTTAATCAGGCAGGTGTATTTTTACGTATGTTCAGGGGTGTGAGGCTCTGTAGGGGCGTGGCTGTGTTTACAAGTAGTCGTCTAGATCCACTGAAGAGTTCTCGGAGGTCTGTGGCATCTCTGTTGGTACCTTGCCCCCGTGAGCCTGGTGTTGGTGTCTGTGAGATTGTGAAGCTAAAGAAGTTAAATTTGTGGTGGCGTGTGTGGAGTGTGTGTGTGTGTGTGTGTGTGTGTGTGTGTGTAAGACAGAGCTTGGGCAGTGGGGTGGGTAGGTGTGTGTGTGTGTGGCGACAGAGCTTCAAGGTGTGGGTGGGTGTGTGTGTGTGTGTGTGTGTGTGTGTGTGTGTGCTCTTCCCCGCTACTTCCAGCCTCAAAATATTTCTTCGGGCGCATAATATATTCGTAACGCTGTCGTAATGAAGTTAAATCAACGCCCTAATTGCTAGAGATATTTTTTTATGACGCTAATCTCCTTATGAACGGTAATCCTGACTGACAGATAGATGCAGCTCAGAGTAAAATGTTGGTCACTCTTGATTTTCTTCATCAATTTGATATATAACGACACGAACTAAGGCGACAGCGACTACCCATTCAAACGCTCGAGGCAGAAAGACTTGACATGGAAGGACGATAAGCTGGTCGTCAATAGGTTAAAAAAATATATAAAGACTGCAGACTGAGTATCTATAGGTGACTAAAAGCTTGAGTGTATATCCCAGATTCCTGCCAAAAGGTTGTGAGAATTCTGGGGGACGGAGGCAGCGACATTTGTGTGTGGTTGACGTTACTGCTGGGGAGGACACGAGCCTCGGAATGGCTGGCCAAACTCTTACAAAAATGGACACAACTTTCCTGACTGAATCAGATTTTCAAACATTCTTAAGTTTATTCTACCAACTCGAGGGACGAGAACACATTTAAAATACGGTCACGGTAGAATAAGGTAGATGTTTTCTCTATGCCTCAGTTAGGTGAAGAAGTTAACGTAGGAAACTTTGATGGACATCCAAGTACGTGATGTGTGTGTGGTACAACATGGTGTGTGGGACTAACACAAGGCGTGTACAGTGTACACCTGCTGGCTGTGTACAGCACAAGATAGTGTACACCACGGAACACCACGCATCGTATGAGGAAAAAGTAAACCTATTTTGAGTCCGTGAGACCGCATGGAAACGACCACTCAAGCGTGACTTTATATCACAGAGCGCTTCAGCTCGGTCTGATATGAAATCCCGGGGATGGATTCTCAAACAAACTTATTTTAAATCTCCTCCTTTAACTAAACATCAGAGCACGCATCTAACTGGCTCTTTTAAGCAACGACACAAAGATGGTGACCAATAGGGCGTCGAGACAGCAGTGTTACTCTACCTTACCTACACTCACTCTCTCATTCCCAGTTAGGTGAACATTTTTCCCGTATATAAACCTATAAGAATTCTGCCGCTGAGTTTCATTATCTCGGCAGACGTGACGTAGTTAAGCTTCCCGGATACAGAAGCAGCAGGTCGTCCACACACACACACACACACACACACACACACACACACACACACACACACACACACACACACACACACACACACACACACACACACACACACACACACACACACACACACACACACACCCACACTACCACACAGCTCTGAGGATCTGTGGCTGTATTCTTTAAGTCTCGTCCATTTATCCCCAGAATGTGAGCATGGCTTCTAGTTACGGTAGAATCTCAATACAATATCGACAACTTTTAGACCACTATTACTACATCGTTGTTTAAGTGAGCCAGTTACATTCTACATATCTCCAACTACGGGAAAAAAATTCTAACATAAGACCATTTGAGAATTCGAGTCTTGGTCCCATGTGGTAAAGGAAACAGTATCATACTTTCAGAGATCCGAAAATGGCACCAACGCCAACCGCAAGAAGTGTTCCAGGTAAGATACTTGGGTCATTACCGCCTACCTGCCGAGGACTCAGGTACTCTAAGGTACTCTACTGTACTCTCTCTACTCTCACACTTTTCTTTTTTTCATCATCACATAATTATCGTCGCTATGTATCTATCTACTCTTAAACGTCGAATTATCTATTTATCTACTCACAAAAGTCGATCTATCTATCTATCTATCTATCTACTTTCAAATGTCAATTTTTATTTATCTATCACTCGGGGTCCTCCCTTGTACCCTTGTGTTGCTTCTACAATCTATTCATCAACTTGTAACATCTGTAGCGCTCGGTGTAGTGTTATCGCATCTGTTGAACACTGAACCTCTGTCGGCTGCTGTAGAGACAAATGTTGGGGCGTTTGGATTTTTTTTTGTGTGGGGGGGGGTATTTTGTCGACAGGTGTTGGGTATTTTGTCGACGGGTGTTGGGTATTTTGTCGACGGGTGTTGGGTATTTTGTCGACAGGTGTTGGGTATTTTGTCGACAGGTGTTGGGTATTTTGTCGACAGGTGTTGGGTATTTTGTCGACAGGTGTTGGGTAATTTGTCGACAGGTGTTAGAAGAAACAGGTGTTGGATTGGGTCATTTACTATTTATACTACAATGGAATAAAACTTTTTTTCAATTACTGTTGGATAGCACTGTCTTCTCTTGTAACAGGTGTCGGGAGGGGGGGGGTCATTCACTGCCTCTCCTACAAGTGTTAAAATACATCAGGATTTCTTATAAGGCTCTCAATACATTCACTAAAAATCAATAATAATTTTTTCTCACCTTTTTATACATAATCAATGACGTAATATGTGTTCTAAACAACGTAGTCTCATTGGCTTATTCTCTAACAAGTCTAACCAATGAGAGAGGAGTTTTGTTTCTACTCCTTATTTTAATTTGTTTCTCTCGTCAGCCTTGTTGTTTTGATTTCATCTTGTCTTTCATCTAGGCAAGTACACAGTTGCTTACTAATTACCTAAACAAGTTATTTGCTTTAGTTAGATTTAAACAACAACGAAGAACTTTAATTAGTCTCCCTTTACTTACAAAAAGATTTATATTCAGTTCTTTAACAAAAATTTCTAAACTATACAAATTACCTTTTTAAAAACAAGACGAGTGATGCTTAATGTAAATATAACTAATAAAGACAAAATTCACACTAAGAAAAAATAATAATAATTAAATCTACTAAAAGACATTTATTATGAGTTAAGCAATTGATAGGGTGTAACAAAAGCCTGGAATAATAGGCATCGTTGCTTTTATTATGGACGTTCAGATTTTTTTTTTTAGTTTAGGTTAAGTGGTATGGTGAGAGAGAGAGAGAGAGAGAGAGAGAGAGAGAGAGAGAGAGAGAGGTATACTCTCCTCTTCTTCTTCCTCCTTCTCCTCACAAACGACTTTTAATTCACTCAGGACAGAAAGACCACTTAAGTAAACAAGATCAACATACCTAATACACTTTACAAACAGCCCCTTACCACCAAGAGCACTTAACCTGAATCAAACAGTGATGAACAAACACAATAAAACACTCACTCTTTTACAATTCCTTACTTCTGTTACACCCTGTACGTTTTATTTTTTCTAATATTTTTTTTCACATTTTAAAAGATAAACAATGAACGTGCGTGAATAAAATCTATAGACATCGAGAGTGAGAGAAAAAAAATATTGGAACATTGTTATTTATGATTTTGGGACCTTGGGGACAGAAGGGGGGGGGTAACTTACCTATTCCCTTCTGCTGCAGCATTTCCAATAATTTTTTTATACTCTCGTCTCTCGCTGCTAAAGTCTGTTTTTGGGTCTCTATTCTCAGCTCCAACTCCTGAAAAATGGGAGAAGTGTTAATACGGTTAACTTAAGATATGAGAGAGAGAGAGAGAGAGAGAGAGAGAGAGAGAGAGAGAGAAGCATCAGGCCATCAGCTAACCGAGACACAACTAAATTAACAAAATAAATAAATTAGTCATCTCTACAGTGCAATATTTGTACAAAGAATTATCTTAACCTGATCCACACACACACACACAGACACACACAGACACACACACACACAGGAGAATTGATCTATATATACTCAATGGACTAACCCACGTAAGGTGCGTTGAAGGAGGAGATTGAATGACAAATATTAATTCATGTAAAGCTTTGACCAGCCACGTTCAGGGGATTAACGTGCTATAACAAGGGTTGACAGGTAGGCACGATAATGGTTTTGGAAGGAACGAACAAAGACACACACAGACGCACACATACAGACAGACACAGACAGACAGACACACACACACAGGTTCTAAAATTCATATAGTGTAAACTTTGAACCCCTGAACTAATTCATTAACATGTCCGTAAATAGGAAAGTCTAGAATACTTGTTTCTATAAAGTTAGTCTCTTAAGATGGTGACTTTTAAGGAGACCGGAGATGACCGCCTCACTGAAGCACATCCATGTTTCTTGGGTTCCAACATTTTCTGTCATGCGGAATTCAGGCTGCGTTTAATGAGTGTTTCTTTAGTATTTTTAGGATCAATTAAACACGAAAATATACCTTAAATAACTAATTGTCATAAGGGTAAAAAGGTTTGCAAAATGGAAATGATTTAATTTATTTTTTATTTTTTAGAAACATTTATGAATTAAAATTTAATACATTTTCCATACAGTCTTTCGTGTGTTGTTTAATATCACTCATCTTCAAGTAGTCTAAGTCACCAGCCACGCCCGGTCATGTCATTAACTAACAACATCTACTGAGTACACACACACACCATCAGCCACTCACCACAGGGCCAACATTATCAAACATCATCACTGCAGGTATTTTCTCTCTGCATCAGTCAGCCCAATGAACACCTTTCCTGATTAAATGATTAAGATTTTTTCTGTCATGTTCCCTCCGGCCAGCTCACAACACGACCTCCTTACTGCACCCCCGGCCAGCTCACAACACGACCTCCTTACTGCACCCCCGGCCAGCTCACAACACGACCTCCTTACTGCACCCCCGACCAGCTCTGCTTGACCTCCCTTACTGCACCCCCAGCCAGCTCCTGGCACGACCTCCTTACTGCACCCCAGCCAGCTCACAACACGACCTCCATACTGCCCCAGCCAGCTCACAACACGACCTCCTTACTGCACCCCCGGCCAGCTCACAACACGACCTCCTTACTGCACCCCCGGCCAGCTCACAACACGACCTCCTTACTGCACCCCCGACCCACGTAATCAAGTACTCGAAGTAAACTCATCGTCTGAATTATTCTAGACCTTACAGCGCCTCCTGCCATACTTTCCTGGCCACAGCTCACCGCCTATGTTCCACACAAATAAGTTCACAGTATTTTCAGATATTCCAATACCTTTCGATCTTGATCTTTAACCTTCCCTCAATACTATTTTTCTCAGATAATATCAAATTTCGACAATGTCATCACCATGGGTATGCAATCGTTTAGTACCCGGATGATTGAGTAAACAAATTATCTTTAAAACCTGACATCTGACATTGATCTCTGTATTAATGAGGTGTTTAGGATACAGGGTAGTTTAAGGGTGTGTGTAATCATCAGGTGAAACAAACTCGATTGCCTACTCTTCACATGACCCAATTGACCCATTCCACAGTAAACTTTGACTTGACCTCAAATCACACCACGAAAGAAAAATCACATTGCCAGACAAACTCGATTGCCTACTCTTCACATGACCCAATTGACCCATTCCACAGTAAACTTTGACTTGACCTCAAATCACACCACGAAAGAAAAATCACATTGCCAGACTGACAGATACACGAACAAGGGTAAGCGTATATATCCCTCTTCCATTATTCTAGGGAAGGGAATAAAAAAAAAAAAAAAACAGACCTCGTGAGTGTGTGTTGTAGAGCATAAGATAATGGCGCGTGGCTCTGAAATGGTCAAAGTAATAAAAAGTTGGTAGAAGTTAGTTAAGGAGATGAACTTTCGTGGGTTTTATTAGATAAGGATGTGGTAACTTAATGTACACGGATATGAGGGAGTTTAGGGAGATAATTAAAACAAAAGGTATGAGACTTTAATTTAGATGAGAAGCCACATTTTATCCTCGTACATCACATCATATTCCGAAACAACACAGCCTAGGCAAGAGAAGCACAACCCAGCACAGCACAGAATAGTAGAGTCCAGCACAGCACACAACCTAGCACACCACAGTACAGCCCAGCACACAACCTAGCCCAGCACAGCCCAGCCCAGCCCAGCCAAGCACAACAGCCTCGGTGGTGCCCCAGACTCAGCGGGGCCAGTGCAGGAGGGTGTGCAGCTTTAGTCTTCTCACTTTACGACTCCCGATGTCTCGCTCGGGAACCGGCCTGCCTTCCTCCCCTGCCTGCCTCTCCTGCCTACCTTCCTCCCCTGCCTGCCTCTCCTGCCTACCTTCCTCCTCTGCCTGCCTCCCTGCCTTCCTTCCTTCCTTCTCTTCCTCGTCTGTCTGCCTTTCTCTCCGGCTTTCTCCCATATCTTCCTTCTCAGCATCCCCCCCACCCCGCCTTCATTCCTAGCCAGCCTGCCTCTTTGCCTGTCTCCCCCCGTCTTTCTCCCTTGCCAGCCTCTCCCTGTCTCTTTCCATCCCCTGTCTCCTTACCTCCTGTCCCTTCCGATCCCCTGCTAGCCTTTCCTCCCCTGCCAGCCTGACGTCTTCCCTGCTCTATTGAATCACTTCCCACAGAACTATATCTTTCCTGAGCCATGTTAATATATTACCTGCTGCGCCGAGCTACAGTATATCTTACCTGATAAACGCTTCAATATTCAAAAAAACAAAAAATAACATTACTAAACATTTTAACAGCACCAAGATTAATATTTCACGACCTTTTAAATACAGACACCAACATTATCAACTAAACATTTAATCATTCAACAAAACATTCACTCACCATTCAGAAAAAATCAACATTTATATTAACTTTCAATTATTAATATTTCTACAACATTTTAACTCAATTTAACGTCAACAAAACAAACACTAATAAACCTTAAAAACACTCCATCATTTTATATTTGAAGACAATTTATGTATCTCAAGTTTATTCGTATTTCTCTATTGACTTTTATCTATATTTACAGTATAATATCTTTCGTTAATGTTTAAAAACATATATATACATTATAATTTTGTATTCTTTGTCTAGTACAATATATAGTTAGATAATTATACGGGAAGTTTGTATTGACTGTACATAACATAACATACATACATACATACATACATACATACATACACAGGGAGATCTAGTTCTAGTCTCTCTCTCTCTCTCTCTCTCTCTCTCTCTCTCTCTCTCTCTCTCTCTCTCTCTCTCTCTCTCTCTCTCTTTTCCTCTGGTTCGTAGGATAATAATAATAATAATAATAATAATAATAATAATAATAATAATAATAATAATAATAATAATAATAATAATAATAATAATAATAATAATAATAATAAATTTACACCTTGTTAGAAAAGTGAATAATTTAAGTTTATTTTTCATTTTAAATTTTTTTTGAGATGCGTTAATAATGTTAATAAATCTTGACTTGTTTTGATTAAGAGTTTATTTATTTGTTTTTATTTTATTTATTTGTTTATTTATTTATTTTTTATTTGTTTTAGTTTTTTATTTATTGGTTTAGTTTATTTTGAATTTGTTAGTCAGCTTTATGAATGCCTTTCTTGACTGACTGACTGACTGAGTGTGTGATTGTCTGACTGAGTGACTAACTGGTTGACTGAGAATGTTTGAAAATGTTAAAGCAAGTTTGAAAATATTTGTGAATGTTTAAGAATGTCTAAGAATCTTTAAGAACGTCTAAGAATGTTAAAGAATGCTTAAGAATGACAACGAGAATGTTTGATCTTGTTAAAAAGGATCAAAAGTCTGGGTTTATAATGCTCACACGATTCCACTGTCTGGCGGCATCAAAGAGGTGTTGGATCGCCTTATGAAGAAGCAACCAAAGTGAAGTGTTTTTTTTTGTTTTAATTTGGTGACACACACACACACACACACACACACACACACACGGTACTATACACACATGAATGTATAACTAGCGGGTATGTATAGATATAATATATACATAACTGGTTCTATAGTTATATGTATACCAATATATATACGTCGGTATATATATTGCACTATAGATTATATAACAGAAACATATATATGAGGCCAAATATATAAAGTTTGGTATAAGAGTAGATATACCTGTTTAGTACCGGTATATATCTTGATACCTGGGCTAGTTTATTACACCAAGTAGATACAAGAATAAAAATAAAGATGGTGAGAGTGAGAAGAAGAAGAGGAGGAGGAGGAGGAGGAGGAGGAGGAGGAGGAGGAGGAGGAGGAGGAGGAGGAGGAGGAATAGGACGACAATAAAAACTTTAATTACAAATGAAAATAAATAACTTAGACAAATACTAGAGACTTAAAGAAGAAACATGAGAAATACGTAAAGATGAATAATTTTGGAAATAATGAAGACTATATTAAAAAAAAAAACACGAATAAAGACCCAAGAAAAACAAGAAATAAAAACCTCACCAAGATAAAAGATTAATGAACAACTTGATAAATATTGAATAAACAGAAGACAAATATAATAAATTGATAAATGGTATAAAAATTTTTTATAAAAGTGAAACACCGACAAAATTGAGATGAATTACCTAGTGATCAATGCCACATGACACACACACACACACACACACACATAATAAAGACGAATTACTTAGCAAATGAAAAGAAAATGAAAATAAGACGTAGAGACATAAATCGGATAAACGTGGAATAAATCAAGAGGAGAGAGAAGGTAAAAATAAAGATATGATAAGGGTTAAGGGGAGAAGGGAGGGGGTCTAAGAGTGGAGAACAAGGGTGAGAGTGGGAACAAGGGAGGGTGGGAGAGTGAGAACAAGGGGGGTCTAAGAGTGGGAACAAGGGAGGGTGGGAACAAGGGGGTCTAAGAATGGGAACAAGGGTAGAGTGGAACAAGGGAGGGTGGGAGAGGTGGGAACAAGGGAGGGTGGGAGAGTGGGAACAAGGGGGTCTAAGAGGGGAACAAGGGTAGAGAGTGGGGAACAAGGGTAGTGGGGAACAAGGGTGCAGGGGAACAAGGGAGGGTGGGAGAGTGGAAGGGGTCTAGAATGGGAACAAGGGTAAGAGTGGGAACAAGTGGTGTCTAAGAATGGGAACAAGGGTAAGAGTGGGAACAAGGGAGGGTGAGAGAGTGGGAACAAGGGTAGGCTGTATGAGTGGGAACAGGGGAAGGGAGTAAGAGTAGGAACAGGGGTGAGAGTGGGAACAAGGGAGGGTGAGAGAGTGAAAACAAGGGGGAGGGTGTAAGAGTGGGAACAAGGGTGAGAGTGGGAACAAGGGTAAGAGTGGGAACAAGGGTAAGAGTGGGAACAAGGGAGAGAGTGGGAACAGGGGTAAGAGTGGGAACAAGGGAGGTGACAACACTACCGTCAACTCGCTACTAAGAGTACAGAAGGCTAGTAAGCGCTCTACTAACACAGAAGCCGTCCACTTACTCCTCCTCACGGGCCATGAGGACAGGTCTTGTATTCTGTGAGGCCTCGTGTATACTTGATCCCTTGTATTATGTATATATATATGTGTGTGTTTTATACTGTATACATGTATAGAGTATGCGACATATATATACATAATGAGACCAAGATAAATATCACTACAGGTGCAGGTGATGATAATAATAAGTGCAGATTATACATTTACACAACAAGACAATCGCCCACAACATTAAGCTGAGGTAAAGCCACACTTGCTGTCACTTCACCACACTATCGCACACGCGTCTTACCAGTGACAAGCGATTTCTCATAGTCCATAACTCCTGCAACATAAGCAGAAGTGAAACATGCAATTAGTAAGCTTTAAATAATCTGCAACCGGGCATGGCTGTAATCACTGTAACGTTACTCAAAGATGGTTGAAATCCAATTTCTGTATCTCATGTTAAGTTGAAAAAGACTGCAAGTAAACATTCAAGTTTTTGCCTCAGAAACTTCAAGTTTCGAAAGTTATTCCAATTTGCAAATTAAGTGACTTTAATTTCTTCATAATTTGGTTGCCCAAAGTCACTGTAATTAGATTTTTTTTACAAATATTAAGAAGCATAATTCCTTCAGTCTTTGTTGAACCTCAACCTAATAGTCAGTCGCCAATGTGGCTTTACATAAAAACTGTCATAAAAAGTTTTTAATACGTAAAGCAACAGAATACTCATAAGTGGGGTCCAGTTGTGCACTGCCGCTCTTGAGCTCCACTTTAACAAGAATTTGGTCGTGTCCATCACGTTACGTGGCCACATGAATTATGTTAATAAGAATTAGAGTCAGAGCTCTTAATGTATTCACTCAGCAACTTTACTGAAAAACTGGCAATAAAACAGTTATAAAACTGAGTTAACGAGTGTACCACGTGAGGGCCTCGTATCACCACCATGGATGGTTCTTCAAGATTAGTATCACAAATTGAAAATGCTAGACATTAATATATTCATGATACAATATGACAATCCGCACAAGGATATTGCCAATCATGTTTTTGGAAATACACAACTGTCCATTACATATTGTTGTTACATGTAAAACACCAAGTACATGTTGCCTCACAGCACCAGGTAGGGGGAGTGTGGTGACACATGAGGTACAACGGATGATCAGATGAAGCGTCTCACAGGTGGTGTTGAGGGTTCACAGGTGTTGTGTGGGGGGGTCGACTCAGATAACAGACGGAGAGACAGATCCATCCATGCTGACCTTTCAACCAAGAGCCCAAGGAAGAAACTCCAGTGTTAATTCCAGGTAGACACTGTCACAGGTAGAGGGAGAGTCATGCTAACACAACAAACTCAGGCAACAGGAGAGTTAGACTCGTTCCTCGTGTGGCCAGAGCAGCGAGCAACACTCAACCAGCCCAGGTGTGGACAAACACACACACACACACACGTATTGGACTGGAAACATTCAATCACTCAGTCGACAACAGTCAAGAACAAAACATGTCAATAATTATCCATACTTACTGGATTGGAAATTCTCACTCGATTGGCGACAGTCAAAAGCAGATTGGTTATATACTAATCCATGCTTACTGGATTGGAAACGCTCAATCACTCGATCGGAGACAGTCAAAGCGGTATGGTCGCTAATCCATACTTAACAGATTGGAAGATGCTACTCATTCGATCGGCGACAATCAACAACAAGTAGGCCACAAATCCATACGCAGTGGATTAGAAGAGTCACCCAATCAGCAACACACAAACAGAAGACTGCTAATCCTTGCAGTCACCTTAGGATGACTTATGGCTTGTGGTGTACGGTACGCGAGGAAGGAGGGAGGGAGGGAAGGAAGGAGAGAGGGAAGGAAGGAGACAGAGGGAAGGAATGAAGGAAGGAAGGAGGGAAGGAAGGAGGTAGATCAGAGGTTTAGGGAGAGTACTTTACAAGACACACACACACACACACACACACACACACACACACACACACACACACGCACAGTATGGTTTCCTCTTTCCCTATTATATAATCCCCAAAACAGATAAACAGGCCCATAGACAGACAGACAGACAGGCAGGCAGACACAGAGACAGATACATTTAGTTCCTTTCATATACAACCAGTCAGCACCAGGGCCAGACGTCCACTAGAGGAGACAGTAAGGGTGTGTTACAAAGTCTCCGTTATGACATAATTACTCAACTTCCTACATTACCAAGTTAAGAATACTTTAAGGAGCAGAAAACTTGTAAACTGACAACGCAACACTTAACTGACAACCCAACACTGACAACGCAACACTAAACTGACAACGCGACACTTAACTGACAACCCAACACTGACAACGCAACACTAAACTGACAACGCGACACTTAACTGACAACGCAGCACTTAACTGACAACGCAGCACTTAACTGACAACGCAACACTAAACTGACAACCCAACACTGACAACGCAACACTATACTCACAACGCAACACTATACCGAGAACGCAACACAACTGACAACGCAACACTTATATAGATTAACGAAAAAGGAAAAAAAAATATCCAGTGATGAATATAAATGATGATGTTTGAAAGACAAAGAAGACACTTACATGTAGACACACTCACACTTACTACTGTAACCACTTCGGGGATTTAAGTTAATGAGCACAATTTCAGCACCTCAAACAACCACCATTTCAGCACCTCAAACAAGCACTATTTCAGCACCTCAAACAACCACCATTTCAGCACCTCAAACAACCACCATTTCAGCACCTCAAACAACCACCATTTCAGCACCTCAATCAACCACCATTTCAGCACCTCAAACAACCACCATTTCAGCACCTCAATCAACCACCATTTCAGCACCTCAAACAACCACCATTTCAGTACCTCAATCAACCACCATTTCAGCACCTCAAACAAGCACTATTTCAGCACCTCATAAGACAGGAGTCACCAACAGAGAGGGAAATTTAACCCAACTTAGACACTGTGCACTTTGATGAGGGAAAAAACAAGAGAGTTCCCAGGAAGACTTAAAAGGCTTGAAGGAGAGAGAGAGGCCTGACAATGTTTACATGCACCAAACTAGATCCAACAACAACATGTAAATCCCAACTTCCATACGTTTATTTACTCTAATAAATAAATAAACCTTTTGGCACTTGGAAACGTTTAAGATACACCATTATTATCACCAGAGGAACAATGTTTATTAGGTTTATTATACGTAACACACAGACAGACATTACAATTTACAAATACCTGTAAATGATTTCTGTGTTGATATACTGTGGATTAATACATTATTTACCGTTTATTTACTTTTTATCCTATTTATCGTCTTTCATTCTTGTTTACATTCTTGTGATACTTTTTAATCACATACACATAATACCAAGACTACCTTCTTGACTACCAAAACAAACATTTATATTCTTCAAAGGGACGAGTTTAGGGGGTTTTTTTTAAGGTGGCGTGGCATTATTTCTTTAGGTATCTTACACGCACGCACACACACACACACACACACACATACACACACACACACACACTTATTATTTCCTCTACATACATACGTACACATACATATAGGCTTCAAAACTGCATACTATCTATTAAGAACTTTTAAACTGGTTCCTTAAGACTTACCATACCTCTATCTCACTTCTTGCAACTTTCACGCTCTTAAAAGCTACAGTTCATACTATAAACACATATCTCGTCTTCTACAAAAACAAAGAGCTATTTTTTTTTCATTCTGAGGATCTAAAAAAAATATATATCAATGAAGGCAGAAAAAAACGTTTGTGTTAATAAAAAAATAAAACTTAAAGAAAGTTCTTCGTCAACAGAAAAATAAAATTAATTTATTTTTTTGGACATCGGAAGGAAAAAAAGTTATCATTTGACTCCTTGAAGTTTGAATTCACCATGAAACAAAATGACTTCAAAATACTGTACTATCACATGACAAAGTTCCTTTCTATATCTCCTTGAACTACACGCGTACAACTTTACTATAATCCTACAAGATATACTAAATACGATTTACAATCCTATTAAATCCACTACAATTCTACAAGATAAATTAACTTACAATTGTCTAAATTTCACTCCATAATCCTACTACAGGAAATACAAAATTCGCTTTTAAATCCTGTTAATTCACTCTATAATAAATTTACTACAAGATTATACAAAACGTACTTAAAATACACTACCAAGTCTACTATAACATACATTAATATACACCGCCATACTCCTCTCAATCACTGTCAACAATGTTATATGTACAGGTAAGATGGGTGACCTACAGCACACCTGGGAGTTAGTTCATCAACGATCCACACTACGAGGAGGAACTACTTCATGACTATAGCATTAACTCTATTATATAATTATTATGCTTCATCAATCTCAATAAACCCCGATTCTCAGAGACCTGTACGTTACCTTCCCCCTACTCCTAGTCACTGGGGATGTGAGAATGTTTTGAGTAGCTCCATTTAGCCAGCGCCATAATAATGAAGGCTGTTTAACTGGTGCCATTATTCCCCTTAAAGGTCTTATCGTAATTGATGGATAGTCTCTCCTCTCCCCCACCCCCCAGCTTCTAAGGTAACTAGAGGTGCGTGGGATTATCTCGTAGTTACATCGAAGGGGGAACCGATCTTACGAATCTCTGAGAATCCGGGCGTTTGTGTATGTTATCTCGTACGAACCTTGACGGCCTCCCGTAAGATGCACACCTCGCGGTTTAAGCGATCGTTTTCCGTGATGAGGGAGTCGTGCGTGCCCAGCTGACCCTGCACCTCTTTGGCACACCGCCTCTCTGTTTGCTACAAACAACCCACCACCAAACTTTCAGCCACAAGTTCACTCTAGATTTTTTTTGTTTTTGTTTTTTTTTAGTGCTAACGGAGAAGCTACTACACACCACTCAGCGAGGGCGACTACATCTTAAGGGATTAGATCAACCTTGTCTCTCAAGAATGTTAATAATACAAAACTTATTATTTATAATACATTAATTTACATTGAAATTTTTATACATCTAAATCATAAACCGTGAGGACTATAATCTATATAGCAATTTATATAGAACTGAAAGGTTTATATACACAATCATTTCAGCTACTCTCCAAAACCTTCTGGTGTTACAGACTGACTCAACCACTTCCATGCTGATCGACCATGACACTGTTGGTGATAAGAAGCCACAGATGAACCCCTTAATAAATACCAAGATAAAGTTTCAAAGTTATAAAATCCTTAATACTTTGATACTTTGTGGTATTTACATCAGCCAAGTTACTCTCGGGGTTCAGAAACAGCTTCGAGACTCTCCAACACCGAGTCATCGATACAGCACATTAAGGTCAGGATTCACAAAGGTTCCTAAGATAAATATCACCCTTGACTTAAGACGTAAGACTGTACATTATTGACTTAACCAAAACACAACATCTCAAAATAGCAAAAAATAATTCCAATGAAAAATTACCTTAAATAGATACGTTCTCCTTAACACCACTTATGGGATAATACTAAGATAATAAATTCCAATAATTCTGCATCTCAATAGTGAACAAAAAATTCTCATCAAGGCAAAATCTGGGTATATATAATTTCAATGATATTCTGGGGTATTATCTTACTCATTAGTTTAAGTCCAATAGTTTAAGTCATTCTCACATAATTACCTACTAGGAATATTCACTGTAGGAACCATTGATGAATTTTCCCTTCGTATATTCCTTGAGAGACATTGTTCCTGCCATTATGTGCCCTTAAGTAACAATATAATGTGCCCTTAAGTAACAATATAATGTGCCCTTAAGTAACAATATAATGTACCCTTAAGTAACAATATAATGTAACCTTAAGTAACAATATAATGTACCCTTAAGTAACAATATAATATGCCCTTAAGTAACAATATAACGTGCCCTTAAGTAACAAAATAATGTAACCTTAAGTAACAATATAACGTGCCCTTAAGTAACAATATAATGTACCCTTAAGTAACAATATAATGCGCCCTTAAGTAACAATATAATGTACCCTTAAGTAACAATATAATGTGCCCTTAAGTAACAAAATAATGTAACCTTAAGTAACAATATAAACACTAAAAGTAAATATATATATATATATATATATAAAATACACACACTGTTCACTTACAAACATAAAAATAAATAATAATAAACTTACAAATATAAACCAACTTAAGAGGAAGAAAGAGAAGTGTGTCAGAAGAACACTATTAGAGCCCCTTCAAGGTTACGGCATATCAACAACTTACCTCCCGTCTTTCATTACACAGAAAGATCACTTGCATACTATAAGAAACGTGAAGAGAATGACCAGGTGTGTTAAAGTGTGTGGGAGGTGTGTGGGAGAAGGTTTGTGTTAAAGTGTGTGAGGGGAGGTGTGTTAAGGTGTGTGGGACAAGGTGTGTTAAGGTATGTGGGACAAGGTGTGTTAAGGTGTGTGGGAGGTACGTGGGGAAAGGTGTGTTAAGGTGGGTGTGTTAAGGTGTGTGTGTGTGTGTGACAAGGCGTGTTAAGGTGTGTGGGAGGTGTGTGGGACAAGGTGTGTTAAGGTATGTTGGACAAGGTGTGTTAAGGTATGTGGGACAAGGTGTGTTAAGGTATGTGGGACAAGGTGTGTTAAGGTATGTGGGACAAGGTGTGTTAAGGTATGTGGGACAAGGTGTGTTAAGGTATGTGGGATGTGTGTTCAGGTGTGTTAAGGTGTGAGCGAGAAGGTGTGGCAAGGTGTGTTAAGGTGTATTCTTGACAGTAATTTATCACGTCACACACACACATTCTTTTTAACATATCAAGTGAGTTTTGTTATGTTAGTCTCATGTGAAGTTTATGTGATGGTGGGGGGGGCGGTTGAATCTCCCCTGGTGTCACTATATTGTAATCAATCACTGTTAGTCCTTCATATATCATTAACTTCACCATATTATCACTATCAATTCGTTTATACATCACTATCATCAATTCTTAACATATATATATATACATAACATCACCATCACCAACTCCACACAGACACACACACACACCATAACCACCACCACCATAACCACCACCACCATAACCACCACCATCACCACCACCACCACCACCACCACCCACATGCTGCAAATCTTAACACTCGAACATGACAAAAATTACCCAAATCCCACTGTGTTGTGTCATAGGGCCTTATGTACCATGATATGTACGAGTATCCTATTATATCCGGTTATACTCTCAAATATGTCTATATCCTGGGACTATATCCTCTCCTGGTATATTCAAAGCATATTTATACTCTCATAAAGTGTGTTGTTGTTGTTGTTGTTGTTTGTTTGGTTGCTCTTAAATAAACTGTTGTGTACTTTGTTGAATATATTGTACTGTTATTACCTTCTGACATATATATATATACACCTTGCTGCCCACTTCTTCTTGTACACTGCTACCCACTTTCCCTCACACGCCAGGACATAAAACGTACTATATCATTAACCCTCATTGCCTTATCACCCCTCATAACACACACACTTAACACAATCTACCCACATTAACCTGTACCTCTAACTAATAACTCTAAGGTTAATGACCAAAACATGTGACTCACTACGACTCATACACAGCCTGTTCACCCTGGCTCATAATTAATTACTCACTTACATATACCAGGTGCATGGGGACTTTTCGATCTTTCTATAACTCATAACAATCCTCTGACACACATTACATATCTCATTCATTCACTGGATCGTCTTTCACACCTGTCTAATTCTAGTGATAATTTACCACACCTTATCTACTAAGTACCTGATCAAGAGGCTGCCCTTTTGAATATCACCAAAAAGTCAGGTGTTATGATAATGTCTACTCAAAGGTGTGTTATATTAGATCAATATATATAGTCTATCTTTTTCTTATCAGTAAACATTGGCGATATTAATAGGGCAAGCCATCAAGGTTAAACCAAACACAAATAACTATGATTCTCATATATTCAGATGGTCTTGTGTACCAGAGATTTTGACGGGACAAAAAACCTTGCCTGAACTTTACAACATAACTAAGACATACGAGAGATAGATCTTAATGAGGTCTTCCCTACCTGACATACGTGAGGTTAGCAGGTATGATTGTGGGTAGTCTACTTGAGAAGATGAATTTTTAACGAGAATAACGTGAAAGAGAAAAAAAAAAGTAAGTGTGTAGCTTATCTAACACTCTCTCTCTCTCTCTCTCTCTCTCTCTCTCTCTCTCTCTCTCTCTCATTAATAATAGAATCTGGGTAAGTGGGCAGACTGACACTGAGAGTAAACAGTTGGTGGGCAGCTTACTTGATACGGTGAAAGAAAATGGTTGGTGGGCAGCTTATCTAAATGCGTTAAAAGAATGTGATTAGTGGGCAGCCTGATTGACACTGAAAGAAAATTGTGGGTGTGCAGTTTAGTTGATATGGTGAAAGAAAATGGTTCGTGTATAACTTATTTCACACGGTAAAAGAAATACGGTTAAGTGAGAAACATGAGCGAATAAGGTTGGTGAGCTACATACAACTGCCGTGTGGACATACTACTTGAGATAGTGATATATATATAAAGTGACTAACAAAATGACAAAGAAAATGGATGGTGGGCAGCCAATGTAAGATGGTGAGAGAGAATGGTTGGAGGGACGCCTAGGACACACGGTGAGTGAGGTAGGGCAGTATTGGCAGCTCACCTTGATGGTCTCCCTCAGGATGGCCACTTCACGGTTGAGGTGGTCGTTCTCGGTGGACAGGTTCTCCAGCTGGCTCTGCACCTCCACGCTGAGGCCCCGAGTCTTCTGGTGCCGCAGCTCCTCCTCCAACTGACGCACCAACATCGCTTGTTTCTGCAAGGAGAACCGCAGTCCTTTAGTGCCCCTTCTTCCTCCCGGAGCTTGATGCTAGGCGCATCTACCTGTAAGCCGGTTTGGTAGCTACGTTAAGCTGGCAAAGTAACTAACACAAGTTTACATAAAGCTGGATTGTTTCTGCAAGGAGAACCACAGTCTTTTAGTGATACTCCCTCCTCCTCCTCCTCCTCCTCCGGTGATTCAAGCTGGATACATCTACAGTATCTAAAAGCTGGTGTAGCGGCCGTCCTCAAGGTGCTGCTGTACTGTAACTACCCAGCAAGTGACCCGCAAGCTGGCTCATATGTCCCGAAATCGCGCAGTCCGGCTAAAAGCTTGTCTGGAAACCAATCCGTAATACGGCTTGGTCTTCACCACTGAAGCTGGCGAGTTAGTTACTCCGCAGGCTGGTGGGGCCGATACCCTGGAGACCATTTAATAGTTACCCTGCCAGCAAATTGAGTAATTAATTCACACGGCGGCTTGATAGCTATCCAGCAAGCCGGTACATTAAACACTCCACACGCCGGCTGGACTGGTAATTATCCCGACAGTTGGCTTAAGGATGGCCTGGCAGTTACTTCACAAACCAGCTTGTTGGACAGATAGACTGTAATGATCCTACAGGCGCTATAGCGGCTACTACATAAACCATCTAGGAAGTTAATGCACAAAGTAGCTCAACAACCATCCATGAACCAGTCTGGTAATTATCACACACGTCACCTCGACACACACACACACACACTCCTCTAACTGTCTCAGTAGTGGCTTCACCTCACAAGACTGTTTGGTAGCTGTCACACCCGGCTGTTTAGGAACCACAAGAGTGAAGTAGTACATCACTGAGGCACTGTCGACCAGGTGTTTGTGGCAGCCAGATATATAACAACAGTGAGGCAGGTCAGCAGAGCCTTCACTTGACGCATTCCAGTGATCGTAACAAGTTCGACCCACAAAATATACATTCAATTTTGGGTTCGTACTCTAAGTTTATTTTTTCCCGCAACTAAGAATGAGAAATAACATCTTGGTTACGATAAAATCACAGTGCAATTATGACCCAATTAGCCATATTATAATTTATCGCAAAGTATCTCAAGTGAAAACCTAAGAATCGTTTTCAAATCCCCGGATAAGAGAAAAAGTTTACGATTTTTTTTGAGAACAATGACGTATTACATATCAGTGCTCAAATATTACAAAATTTTATAATAACATACGTAATTCCTCTTACTGCCATTGGTCAATTTAAGAACATTTACGTCATTAATTCGGCAAAATGTAGTTGATGGTTTAGAAGCTCAGAGTGTCCATGAAGCGAGGTTGTATGACATGAGACAAGACCTGATAGTCACAAGGTGAACCAAGGTGTACTGTGGCCTGGCATAACTCAGGAGTCTAGTTCACAGCTGACTGACACTCGTACAGTATATGGCTACTTCAGTGAGAAACATAAAAGCGTTTGTACCCAGTGAGAAACATAGCACGTACTGACGGTGAGGAACAGACTGGCCATGACCATCCCACTGAGAAATATACACTGGTTACTCTCAAGTGAGGAACGTAATGGTATCTCTTGGGAAATACACTGATCGGAACTAAAAGAAGTATAGTGATAACTCTCACTAAAACTTAAAGAGTGATAATTCTCAGTGAAATTCAGCAGTAGTTCCCTGAGAGAGACACACGGTGAGAACTCCCACTGGAGACACAACAACATCTCTACACGCTTTCATTGCTTTTATTACAGAGCAAGACGAAGCGATAGATAGAGAGAGAGATGCGGAGGACAACACTGACAAGGGGTGATAAAAGAAGGGAGGGTGCAAAGAAGAAAGGAGAGAGAGACTAAACAACACTAAGGCGAAAGTCTAAACTAATATACAAAAGCAACACAGATAAAAGAGAAGAGACAATCAGAGTAAAGAGAGACTATACACATAAACGGAGACACATAAGAAGAAGGGAACAAGAGAATTGACAATAAACAGGATAATACATAGATATACAGAAGGTCGACTATAGAAAATGAGGCATGGCAAAGAAAACGTGAGGTAGCATTGCAAAGAAAATGGGAGACAGGATGATGAACAAAGAAAATGGGAGGCAGCTTAACAAAGAAAATGGGAGGCAAGATAATAAACAAACACAACATAATGCCAGATAACAAAGAAAAAAACAAGAAACGCAATAACGAAAAAAAAGATACAAAAAAAACCCAGCAGAAACGACGAATAAAAGAAGTGAAATTAAATAACAAGAGATAAACCCAGTTAGGAAAAATGGTCAACACGAATGAAAAACCTAACATGGTCTTGCAAAGGTTAAAAAAATATAACAGAGGAGGGTAAATGTTTGAGAGAGAGAGATTGTCTAGAAAAGCATTACGGTTCCGGTTTAGTCAAGAAATTTATGATATTAAGGTTTTTAAAAGGTCAAAATACAACCAATCAAACCTAACTTAACTTAACCAAACTTAACTTAAATACTGAAATATGTTAAAATCATTAGGTTAAGTTGGATGGACAGGTTAGGTTAGATTAAGCTCAACAGGAGAGGAAAGTTTAAATTAGGGATTATAGGTTAGGTAAATATATCAAGTTAGGTTAAGTTTACATTAGGTTAAGTTTACGTTAAATTGGTAGTTAAGTTAGGTAATTTTAGGGAATTTTAGGTAGATAGGTTAGGCTAGGTTAGGCTAGGTTAGGTTAGGTTAGGTTAGGCTAGGTAAGTTAAACAGGTTGATTGGTGAATTTAGCTAATTTAAAAAGTTAGAAAATTTTCACTAAAATATGAAATTGAAAAAAAAAATTACCAAAATTTAACTAAAAAAAAAACAAGAAAAAAAAACAAAATTAAGAAGTACAATCGACTGTGACTCTGAGTTAGACAATTATTGAAAAGTTAATTACGGTGGTCATAATCTAGTTTTTAGAGGACAACAATTAAAGAAAACTGTGAAATTTGAGAGAGAGAGATAGCAGAACGTAAAAACAGTAAAGGAGAAGATTAAAAAGATATCTCGAATCTGGAGAAAAACGACAGAAAAATAAAACCAAATAAATCGAGGAAATGCTACGAAAGACTGAAGAACCTGACGAAGATGTAAAACAGAGGTGGATGATGCTGAGGGAGTGAGACAAATGATAAAGAAGGAAGAGGAGAAGACACACACATTGTATACAGAGATTAATAATTGGTTAGATGTTCTACTGATCCAGAGAGAGACGTAGATACAGAAAATAAAATCTTGCTGAAAATGCCAATAGAAATAAAGAAGACATGAAAGAAAGGGCTCAATAACAAACATGTGAAGTGAGAAACACAGCAGAGAGAGAGAGAAAAATTACAGGAATCTTAAATAAATATAGAAAGCGAAAGAGAAAGTGCAGGAATTTCCAGAAAAATAAAAAAAGTAACAAATTCCAATAACGGGTAGTTGAGGAAGGAGAGAGAGACTCGAGGCGGAGGTCTGGGTCACTGCACCTCCAGGCTGGGGCCGAGGTTCTTGTGGTGCCGCAGTTCCTCCTCCAGCTGCCACACCAGCATCGCTTGTTTCTGTGGAAGACGGAGAAGGTGGAGTTAGTGGCAAGCTGCAAGGGGACGAGCCAGGGCAGCATTGTTGCCCACTGTCAGAGTAAACAATGTGGCCAGCTGTCAGAGTAAACAGTGTGTGGCCCACTGTCAGGGTAGTAGGAACAGTTTGGCCAGCTGTCAGTGTAACCAGTGTGAGGTCTTCACAGGGTCCCCAGTAAAGTTTCAAGAGGTGGAGAGTTAAGCAGTGTAACAATGGTCCTCGTGTTGTCACTGATCAGGGTGTTCACTTGCATGTACAGTACTTCCTCGCAGGGTAAAGATCAACAGTGTGTACAGGTCCTCAAGCTGTCAAAGTCTGGGGGTATGAACATCATCTACCGTGGTGAGTGTGGAGGAGTGTACGGGCATAACACAATGTGCAATGAATGAACAGCAGCAGGTCATGGGAGAACAGCTCAATATACCCCAGATGCTGCTACCTGTTTGTGTACCTGAGATATTAATTATCCTCTATGTACAAATGTCTATAAAACCCGTTCTATTTTATGTAATGAAAGATTCCTCTGATGTAATTTATTTCCAATCTGAATGTCCATTATTTTGTTTTTTCTCTGAGTTAACTAGTGTTTTTATTTTTGAGCAAATCCTGTAATAATTGTGTTAGTTATTCTGTGAGTCATCCCTCTTATGAGTCTTTCTTTATGAGTTAAACCTCCTATGATAATATTTTCCTCTATGTGAATCAGTGGTAATTTCTTCTTTTTTTTATCCATATCAGTAACTCCCGTCTTGAAGGATTATATTTCCCTTTGTTGGTATGTTTAGCTCTACGTGACCCTGTGACTCAAGACAGCTGGTCGTTGTGAGGGTAAAGTTGCTCTCGGTGTTGGGTGGGGGGTTGTGGGCCTCCTCCAGGTGTGAAGTATAGCTAATCGTGGAGGTAAACTGAAGGTGACATACGTGTACATGCTATAGTAGGTGTGTCAAACTTTGTACTGGTGAAGTTAAAGGAAGGAAGAGGGGCAGGGGAGGAGGATTAGGTGACTGTATACTATAATCAACATGAGTGGAGACTATTTATGCCACATGTTAGGGGGAGACTACATGCTAACTAACGTAAATCATGACACATCTTTACTAAACTAGTCAACTCCCTGGTGTTAGTACTAGAGTTATATAGTTTATACATTATAATTACAAGAGTTACTGAGGCCAGGTGTTACTGATGGCTCTTGTTGTCAGTCGATCAGGGTTGAGGAAAATCATGGGATGTGACAAACTACCCACTACCCACTCACCTCTCCACCTACCCACCATTGTTATTGTTTTTCTCGTAGGTAAACAAACACAGGAAAATACCATATTAACCGTTCTGTTCCGTATGTATTTCCTTCAACTAAATATGTGAAGAAATTGTCAACTTTCCTTAAAATAACTTTCCCTTGAACAACTTTCCCTCGAGTAACTTTCACTTTAAAAAAACTTTCCCTTCGAGTCACTAACCATTAGACAACTTTCTCCTGTGTTTCTTTCACTTAAACAACTTTTCTTTCTGTAACTATCACTTAAAATACTTTCCCTTCAGTTACTATCCATTAAACAACTTTCCCTCGAGTTACTTTCCCCTGACCAACTTTCACACACCCCCAAAATAAAACAGTAAGGGACACTTTCAATAAATCGTCAGCATCCATTATCTGTCAGAGTAAAACCATTATTATGTCCCAAATATTTAAATTCCTCAACTAATTATCTATTTATATTTTAAGGGGAGAGTAAACAGATTTTCATATCACTTGTGGGTTTTTTGTATGTATGTATGTATGTATGTATGTATGTATGTATGTATGTATGTATGTACGTACGTAGATCTACACAGATTTAATTAAGCGGCACTGGTCAGTAAATGTGTATAGTGCAGTTATTTAATATACACACTTAGTCGATGTGCACATAGACACTCAATGTATACAGAGTGAATGTGCACAGGGAAATCGTTCAGTCAGTCAGTCAATATAAGCCAGTCAGTGAGTCGGTTCGGTCAGTGAGTCTACCGTTCAGTCGTCACTACACACACACACACACACACACACTGTTTACTCCCACACACTCACTACAAAGTCCTCGTTCAGTGAGAACCACGGAGAGGACGACGACCAAGGAGTGAGAGAGAGAGAGAGAGAGAGAGAGAGAGAGAGAGAGAGAGATAAACAAAGCTTGAACAAACACGTGTACAAAAGCAGAAAGAAAAATGTTCATACAGTGTGGGATAAAAGTTCAGATCAGAGAAAACACACAGACACCAAATTGCGTTCTGGTGAAAGATAAGACAGACAGGCGTAGGAGTTCTGTTCATAAGTTGCGTTCAGCTCATAGAAAATAGAAAGTTGGATTCAGCTTATAGAAAATAGATAGAAAGTTGCGTTCAGATGAAAGAAAATTGGAGACAGGTAGTTGCGTTCAGTTCATAGACAAGACAGAAAAAATGGTTGCGTTCAGGACAGAAAACTCAGGTAAGAAATCAGAGTTCACAGCTCAGAATACCTTCACAGACACACACACACAGGCGTTCAGATCAAAGACCACAGGAAGATATTTGTACTCAGATCCAGGAACGTAAGACTCTTTGAGATCAGAGAAAACACACACACACACACACATACACACACACACACACACACACACGTACGTTCTGACCAAGCAGGCGCAGGCAAAATGTGTGTTAAAAGCATACAGGCAAAGAGCATAAATTTGAATAAAATTGGCTGGGAATAGAAGTTATTTGAGAGAGAGAGAGAGAGAGAAAGAGAGAGAGAGAGAGGTGAACTGGCTCTCTATCCCTTATATTTTTTTTTTCACAAGAAGAATATTAATTTACTCACTCATGTGTCATCCAGGTAATAATAACCCGTAATTACCATAAATCATTAATTAGACTCGTAACAAGTTGTCGACCATGGCGCTATTGGCGAATTTCCATTAAAGAGTTAACTGATGCGTAAGAATTATTTATATGTGCGTTAGTGCGTATGGGAGTAATTAATGACCACCTGATTGGCGTCATATATGGGGTTAATTACCATAGGTGGAGATATTAAGGTAGATAATAATAGAGAGAAATGAAGTAGGAAAAACAAGAGAAAAACGACACACACACACACACACACACACACACACACACACACACACACACACACACACACACTATAAAGTTATATCCGTGGCTGTGGGTCAATCTATACCAGCACCAACTCGTGTTTCAGTGAGAGAGGGACCAGTGATGTATTTTGGCGAGTGAGTGAGAGTGAGTGAGAGTGCCGGGCATTACAGTGAGGGCATGACTGGAACCCCCCAACACACCCTCTCACACTCACTCTACACTTCTCACACTCACTCTACACCACTCACACTCACTCCACACTTCCCACACTCACTCCACACCTCTCACACACCTTCTACACCTCCCACACTCACTACCCATCCACAAAACCACAACCACCACACAACACTCATGATCTTCTAAGCGTCGCCTCTTGTCAACAGTTAGCGAGAGAGCGTGTGTTCCTTACTCGAACATTAAGCATTTATACCACGTAAAGGATTCCCGCCTGAACCTATGATGCTCTCAGGTGTTCAATCCTCTTTACTCTCGACACTTATACAAAGTTCAATACTACTTTGAGTCTCTGGAAGTCACCAACACCACTCTTATCGAAATTAATCCCCCTTGAATTTTTTACTTTATTTTTCTTCTGGAGTTTATAATTATGTAGATGTTTCTGTTCTTTTAGATTTTGGATTGTAATTTTTTTGTTTTATTAATATTTACGAAAATATTGATGTTGGGAGTTGATTGTGCGTATTGTATTTCACTCACTCACTCACTCACTCTACACACACACTCTACACACACACACGCTACTATTCTATAAATTCTCCTTAAAGGGGGTTATATATGTGTAATTAACCCTAACTTACCACTATCAGGTCAAAAGATCAGGTCAGGAGGTCAGGGGAAACAATTAAACGGAGGTCATATAGGCCGAGTAGTGGCACCTCCCCCCCCCCCACCAGGCACTGTGCCAAGGAGTGTCTAAGGGGCCAAATTTACACTCACTGGGATCCATTCTCCACGCGCTATAACACGCTCGTCTAAAATGGTCGATTTGGTGACTAGCGAGTTTCATGGTGTTTCGTTATGGATTTCGTTATTGCTTCAGTGAGTTTCGTTATTGTTTCATGGTGTTTCGTTATGGATTTCGTTATTGCTTCAGTGAGTTTCGTTATTGTTTCATGGTGTTTCGTTATGGATTTCGTTATTGCTTCAGTGAGTTTCGTTATTGTTTCATGGTGTTTCGTTATGGATTTCGTTATTGCTTCAGTGAGTTTCGTTATGGTTTTATTGTGTTTCTGTTTCTTTCGTTTTGGGTTTCGTTGCTTTGATGTTGGTTTTGTTTTAGTTTTCGTTGTTTTAGTTTTTTCGTTATCGTTTTGTTGCTTCAAAGTGTTTCGTTACAGGATTCGTTGCTCCACAGATGAACCTAACCTAACCTAAAACTTGTATCTCATAACTTAAACCAAATTCACAAACAACAACTCATATAAACGTGTAATTTACTTCCCATTAAAACACGTGACTCTTGTTAAATACAAATACTTTACATATAACAATTATAACACACTATAACTATAATTTATTTTGAAATATTACACAAAAATAATTAAAATAGCAATCTTCATTAACTAACCACAAAGTATAAATAATGTACAGTAGCTTTTGTAATCATTATCATCTATTTTATACTATTTCTCACTATTATTATTTCGACCCCACCCACTCCCCAACCCTTCCCTCCCCCCTGTTATAAAATAAAGCTCGCTATATTGTACAGTACCCATATTAAGGCTATATTACTTGATGAAACGACTGGACAAACAATTGGTAGACTCGGTTCTATGTCCTGGGAAAAAAAAAATAATAATCTCGTAAAATTAAACTAAATGAACTCCATGCGAGGCGCTGCTTGACCTTTACTTCTTGGGGGTAAAAGTATATTATT